AATCAGCTATACAGTTTGAGGATATATACAACTTTGTAACATGTAGAAAATAGCAATATTAGAGAAACCAAAGACTGGAACTGAGGGAAGTCAGGAGATGGGGTGGAGGGGTGGGTTCAGGGGGGCAGGGGGGAGGGAGGAAAAATGGGGGGGAATAAGGATATGTTTTTGGATAATATGTCTTGTTATAACTTTGAATAAATTTTAAAAAATAAAATAAAAAAATATCCTGGGAACAGTACACCACAGTGGTGGGCAGTTCCACAGACCCTCCTCCTCTGCTCAATATGCATACAGACCCATCTTTGCGCAGGGAAGATCCAGACAAAAGGAGTCTGTTTTCAAACTACCTGCGGAGGGGTTTACACGGCTCCATCCTCTTGCCTCCCCCGCCCCCCGATCACTGTTTCACTCCGGAAGGTGTCTCAGACCTGGGTGGAGCAGCCACAAATGACAGGCAAAGAGACAAGGTCCTGCCCAGATTCAGGCTTCCTCATGATTGTGTGGAATCTGTACACGTTTCTGTTGGCGCTTCCACTAGTGATTTATCTGTACAGGATCGGACTTCATTTCAGCCAACCACATCCTTCCTCTTCCCCCTCCCTCTTCCCCCGACAGCATACTAGAGTTCATATGGATTTCAAAGCATGCTTTCAGAACTTGTATGCTTAGCTTTAAACTCCACAAAATTAGCCTATGGCTAGGATGCTACTTATCAAAGTCTGTGTCCATTAAAATATGTTCAGATACAATTATGCTTTCCCCCTTGTTATACAACTATTATTTTTAAAATTGCATTCAACCATTTACTATTTAAACAGCTTATACACCACTTGACTATAATCATCTCTGAAGTGACATACGAGAAATACATTGCAGAAAAAGTTAACATTGATGACATTAGACTTCCGTTAAAAAGACCTGCTGGAATAAAAAAAGGATTCGGTAGGTGCTGCGTGCTCTGCCTGATGCTCTCAACTGACAAAATGTAGGTGTGGTTGAATCAAATGGGAACAGTGACCACAGTGCTATCAAATTCAACATACACAGTATGGAAGTGGACAATTGCTAAGGAAATCCAGAACAGTCACATTTGACTTCAAAAGAGGAGACTTCCTCAAAATGAGGGATTGGGTAAAAAAGGCAGTTGAAGGGGGGAAGTCAAGGATGGTGAGCCCTTCTGTGCTCCAGAGGGCCTGGGTGGCCTCATTCCCCTCTTGTTCTGAGCACTGCAGAGGGAGGCAAACATGTCCTTCCTGGGGGCTGGTCCTTTGGGGGCATGGCTCACCTTGCCTGCTCCTGCCCTCCTCCAACACAGACAACCTTACCTGCCTCAGCCATCCATGGGGGCTTGAGAGTGTGTGAGCAGACTTTGCCATGGGAGGAGGCAGGCCTTGCAGAGGAGGAATGCTGGGGGCAGGCATTCAAACTCAGCCCTGAAGCTCACTGGGTGACCCTGGGCCAGGCACTCACGCTCAGCCTAACCTACCTCAAAGGGTTGTTGTGAGGATAAAATGGGGGGGGGGGGGAGAACTCTGCACACCAACTGGACCTCCTTGCAGGAAATGGGGGCTATAAATGTAATTGTGTTATTTGTACCCCACCCACCTCACTGGGTTTTCCCAGCCTCTCTGGGCGGCTTCCAACACATATTAAAACAACAAACATTCAAAGCCTCCCTATAATGGGCTGCCTTCCAGAGGTTTGATAGTTGCTCATCTCATTGTTACCTGTAGGGAGGGCGTTCCACATAGAGGCTGCCACCACCGAGAAGGCCCTCCCTCTGCCTGGTTCCCTGCAACCTCACTTCTCACGGGGAGGGAACCACCAGAAGACCCTCGGAGGAGGACCTCCGGGCTGAAGGATGGGGGTGGAGATGCTCCTTCAGGTATACTGCGCTGAGCTTCCTGACCTAACATTTGCCTTGCTTAACATAATTAATTAGTAAGTGAAGTTTTCCTCTTCCATTCAAGCAGTACAGGAAGTAAGAACGTGCAAAAAGGAGTACTACTTCTAGAATTCCCAACTCCTGACATAAAACAGCACAAAGGTTGCCTTTTCTTGACCATCGATCACCTGCGCAAAGTCCCTATGCCACCCCCTGTTTGTTGAGCAGATTGATTTATTGATCAGATAAGCCTGACGTCCGGCACGCTTCCCACTGCGCAGCTCTTGCTGGCCAGGCCTCTGCATTCCAAAGTCCACATTCCGAGCGCTGAGCAAAGCAGAGATCTGCAGCGGCAAGAGAAAGACTGCAAAAAACTCCAGAGCATTCTTCAGTGTGCTTAAATAAAGTCCACTCAGGATCTTAGCAGCTAAAAGCAGTTTTATTTACAGCAGACTATCCATTATCTATCACAGCGAACAGCATCGTGAAAACACGTCCTCTCTCCTCAAAAGCGAAAGTAGAGAGAAAGAACAAAGGCTTGAGGTTCTCGGAAATGACGAACCTCCCCCCTCCCAACAGTACACTCTGAGCTGTTTAACCCTGTAAGCTCAGGTTCTCCTCACACCCCCTCTCGCCCTGCGCTACTGTGGGGAAAGTAAGTACAGAACTTTGCGGACTTGCACGCTCTGCAATCTAGAAACTTAGCACATGATTTCATTTTGCACCCTTGCGTACACTCTGGGATCTTCTTCACTGACCCCCAGGACACGTGTGCCATGCGTCGGTGCCATAAGTGAGCACACGCATCATGAACTGGAACATTGGCACACTGTGCTTGAGCCTCCTCCGTGTCATCTGGACCTGCAAAAGAAGCATCTATCACAAACAACCTGTCTTTACATTTAACACTGACTAGTTGCTGTCCATTCTTAGAAATAGAACACTTATTGTTCTCAAAACACACTCTGTAGTTCTCAGCAAGAAGTGCACTGACAGACAGCAACGCACAGGACAGTCCTGGAACAACAAAAGCCTGGATTGAATCCTGTAAGAAAGAACAAAACAGTGAGCCAGTCTGCGTGAGTGGGTGTCGAGTCCCATCTGCTAAACAAACAGTCTTCCCAGATTTTACAGAGGTGCAGTTCTCCAGGAATCCTGCAGATGGCACGAGATGATGGGAAGCGCCTGAGTCTATGACAAAAGCCAGCACAGCATCCTGTTGACAACTCTTGACTGCAGCCATAGAGGCTGCCAAATGTTTATGTTCAGTGTCTCTGCCAGCTGCCTTCGGCTTGCCTTTCCCACGCTTTGAAGAAGAGCCCTTTATCTGGTTGCTACGGGAGACGGCCTTCGGCTGTTCCTGTGCCTCCACTGGACATTCTCTCACCAGATGGGAGGGGGAGCCACAGCGATAACAGTGGCGACGCGTAGCAACAGCTCTCACAGCTCCCTCTCCAGCCATTCCTTTGTTCCCAGCACCCCCACCTTTGGGTGCACAGCCTGGGCCTGCACGCTCCCCAGCACTCTGGTTGTAGGCCTCAACATCACACGGCCCCTCGGAGACAAAGCAGCTACTGCCAGCTGTAACTTCAAGAATATGGTCAGCAGCCCCCTCTGGGCTCTCGGCTTCCTCCCTGCTCTCGGCTTTCTCCTGGCCCTGGGCTCCTGCTGAGCTCTCACACAGACTCCTCAGCACCTGCCAGGCGGCCTGAGCCGACTCAACGCCCTCCAGGTGGGGCAACAGCAAAGCGTCCACGCTTGCTCTCAACATGCAGAGCTCTCTTTGCATTCTCTGCTCTCTATCTTCCAGCAAAGCAGCCTCCAGGTCTGCTCCGCCATCTTCAGCAGCAACTGGCATGGGTGGGGCCGGCTCCTTCTGGGCTATATTCCAGAGCCCTGTGGCCAAAAACCACCCCCTTACTCTTCTAACCCAGATATCCCAGGACTGGGTTGTGAGCTTTTCAAACGGGACATCATAAAAGTCCTGGAGCTCAGCCATCTCCTCCCCCAGTGCTCCCATTGGGGCTTTGAAGTACTCACGCATACCGAGGAGGAGCCAACATGGCGCCGAGGTAAGACGCGCTTACCGGTGCTCTTCGGACTTCTTTTAATCTTTTTTAATCTTTTATACTTTTATCTCAACTGACCCAGTCAGTTTTTGAAGTATTTTATAATTGCTGCAGCCGCATACCATGGAAACTCTTTGAGAGATTTGGCCCTGCTCCAGACTGCTGCAAGCCGCTCTTTGTTTCTCTCATATCAGCGGGCTGGCTTTAGCTGCTAAAGGAGTTGAGAACGCCATTATCTTAATTGCGTGTTAAGTGTTATGTTATTTTAAGAATCGTATAATCTCTGGCCTGAGGAAAGCATGGGTCAGAAAAAAACGCTCGAGAGACTTTGACGAGCCCCTATCATCCCCTAAACCAAAACTATCAAGGTTGGTGCCACACCGGAATGGAGGAGGGAGTGACCATGCCGAGCAATGCTTTGCAGTGGAAACCCAAAATCGCTTCCAACCTCTAATTGATTTAGAAGCTACTCCGATTCCGATGACTCAAAATGTTTCAAATGTAAAGCCTGTAAAGGAGAATACGAAAGAAAAACTCTCATCGCAGGAAGATGGTTTGGCATCTGTTATGGGGGAGTTCCCCAGTTGTGAGCAGTTACACTTAGTAATTAAGACCCTTCACTGTATTTTTAAAAGGCTGGACGAGGTATCTTCACAATTATCCAATATCCTGCTGAAAATCGGAAAACTTGAATCAACAACACAATCCTCAGTTTGTGAGGTCAAAAACTTATTGCCTCACCCCCATTCAGATAAAATACTGGAGACTAAAACTAAATATGTCTTAAATTCCCAATTGAACAATCAGATATTAACTTTGCAACCCAAGAAAAGTTGCCTTTCTGTCAGGTCGGAAATAGGAAGATGGTCAACGCTAGAAGGAGCTAAAGACTGCTTAAGCAAACTTTTAAAAATTAAGAAATATCAGATTGACCTATATGCTGTAATGCCCCTTCCCGGCAGACCAACTTCTTGAAGGTGATACTTGCGTTCCACTCTGAAAAGATACCATCTATTATTGTTAGGAGGAAAACGCTTTTGTCCATGGCCGACATTGTAGCAACGAGGGTTTTTACAGACAGCAAGATCAAACCCCTTCTAAATAGGTGCCCTGGCGGTGAGGACATTAGGACAAGAGACTCTGCCTCACTTCAAAATACTGTCAGGCCCAACCGCGATGACTCTGCAGCGTGCCATCCGCGACCAAACTCGATACCCTCTCAAACTGCTATATATGAGGATGATAATCTGCAGACTGCCCTCGACGAAAGGGAACTTATTGATTCATTCAGAGCCCTTCCTCCGAAAGAACAGTCGGTGATGATGCAAAGATTTGACACGCTTAAAACTCAGCTTTTGCAAGTCCAACATAGAGGGGAAGATACTAACGATGTCTCAAATAATCCCACTTGGGCCCACCGGACAGAAGTGGTTGACCTTCTTCAGCTCAGCCCCACTCTGAATTCAAAAACCATCCGACAAGACTCAAATCTTCAAGTTGCTTCTGCAGCGTGCGCTACATCACGAGACGACCAGGCTCTGCCATCCTCACTGAACCTTCATCTATATTCATCAACCAACATACCTAAGGACGAAATTCTGATTTCCCTGCTTGACTCAAATCCCTCTTTAACTCACTCATCTATGCCAGAGCTAGAATCTTCTCCAGTTTCGTCCAGATATAGAAGTAGTCCACAAGTGATGCCCCTGAGAGAGTCTTCCGCAATTTCCACCTCCGTGATGCCCCCTCAATTACCTCCTTCAAAGGAAACTGCGAATGTTACACCTCGGGACCCGCCGTCAGAAATGATTGAAGACCCGATGGGACGCATCAATAAAATAATCCGAATGTCGGATGACAAATCTGCGAGAGGGTTTACCCCGACGGACTCAATTTCCCCCTACCTGGGTATTTCTCTGCCAAGTGGTACCAAGAATTTCGAAATGAAGAGACTTCCTGTTCAGAGACCTACTTTCAGTGGATCATCCACGGTGTGCCAACAGTCGAACCAAATTGTTAAAAACTTTAATCTGCAGGGCGCCTCACAGTTACCATCTTCCCAAAGTAAAATAACTGACTTTTTTGTTACATCTTCTGTCTTTAACAGTGAGTCTGCCCCCCCTCCATTTTGACTGTTAAAAGAACAACATAGAAGTCCCCAGCTAGCAGTCCTAAGTTGGAACATTGCTGGCTGGAAAAGGAAAAGATTAGATCCTGAATTTCTGTCCTATATAAACTCTTTCCAGATAATCCTTTTACAAGAAACATGGGAAGAAGATAAAATAGATATAAATGGCTTTGAACTGATATCACTTCCAGCTATCCCCTCCCAGAAAGGTGGCCGGTCCAGAGGCGGTCTTGCAATCGCCATATCGCTTAAAATGAGAGCTAAACTCTCGCTAGTTCATACCTTTCCTCCTTTTGCTTTTACTGGTCTGATTTCAAGTGAAAAATTCTCACTATTAATCACCAATGTTTATCTTCCTCCAGGTGGTCTGATATCAGACCTTCATTATAGATGGGATTCTCTGGAAGATCATTTATTGGCATGCTATGTTAAGTACCCTAATATTCCATCGATAATGGGTGGTGACTTCAATGCACGGACAGCTGCCAACTGGAATGGGATAATTAAGGCCAAGTGGTGGGTATCTCCCCCCTACCCAAAATCTGATTTAATCTCTTTCACATCAAGAAGATCTAAGGACAACAGAGTGAATGAGGCGGGAGTCCTTCTTTATCAATTGGCCATTCGTATGAATTTGAACATTCTAAATGGCAACTGCCCTCCGGACGTGCCAGGTGAATTCACTCATTTGGGCACAACATCAAATAGTGTCCTAGATTATCTTCTAGTCTCAGAAGACCTATTTTCAAATTTCTTTTATTTCAAAGTAGATAATGTACAATCCAGTGATCACCTACCTCTAGCGGCCAAGCTAACGCTTGACTGGCACCCGGTTAGCGGAACACACCCAATTCATGTAGGTTTAAATGCCACAGCTCAAGTAAGAGGCATTAAATGGTCCATGAAACAGGCCCAAAAATATGCAGAATTCTTCCAGAGGAATAGCTCCGAATCCCTTATTGTTTCATTGGCGGAGCTGTCTGAACCAAACAGGATACTGGAGTGGTTCTTCCACTTCTCTGCAGATTTAACTAGTTTCTTTACGATGCCGGCTCACCTCGCTAACCGAGATCAACCCAGGTTCGGTGCACCTTGGTTTGATGCCAAATGTAAGCAAGCTAGACTCTCTCTCTGTTGTATCTACAATAGATATAAAGCCTCTGGAGCTGAAACTCTCCCCCCAGAGTACTTGCAGGCCAAAATTGCTTACAAACAGGCTCAGAAGTCAGCCAAGCACGAGTGGCAGCTAAGACGTTGGCAAGCGCTGATTGCTGCCTCTAAGCTTCGCAGCTCTCACGGTTTTGGAATTTAATCAACAAAAGATCGAGGAAATACCCATTGACGGTTATCCCAGCCCCGACATGGGAACAATTTCTAAGAAAATATTTCTCCCAAACAGACATCTCTAACATCCAATCTGATACTCTCTCAAGTCACTTGCCCATATGGCCAGATACTGACCCGGAGGAAATAGTAGATTTAATTGCCAAACTGAAAACTGATAAAGCCCCAGGGCCCGATCTGATCCCGGCGGAAGCTATTAAACAACATCCAATATGGTGGGCTAAAATTCTTGCAAAAATCTTTGATGCAATCAATGCCACGGGCCAGATACCTACATCATGGAAGGAGTCCATCATAATTCCTATATATAAAAAAGGACCACCAGAGGACCCAGGAAACTATCGTAATATCAGTTTATTATCAATCATCGGAAAAATCTACACTCGCTTCTTGCTAACCAGACTAACCCAATGGGCCGAAGATTCCAATCTGATAGGCCATGAACAGGTCGGGTTTAGACCAAATCGCGCTTCTATTGACCATGCTATAATTCTATATCATTTGGCGCGGAAATATTCTTCCCCTACTCATGGTCTTCTATGTGCCGCTTTTATAGACCTGAAGGCGGCTTTTGACAGTATCTCTAGAGAGCTGTTATGGGAAAAACTGGCAAAGTGGGGCATAGAAAAAGGCTGTTGTGGCTATTGATTAAATTACATGAAGGGACGGCTGCTAGGGTGAGGTTAACACCTGAGGGCGATCTAACAAACTCAGTTCCAATAAACAAGGGGGTACGACAAGGGTGTATCCTTGCCCCCTATCTTTTAACCTCTATATTAGTGACATGAGGACGCCCCTAGCTGAGGCCCAAACCTCCATTCATGCACCCAGGCTTGCAGACTATCGCTGCCCCTTATTATTGTACGCTGACGATGCGGTGATCCTCTCTTATTCTCGAATCGGTTTGAGGAGGGCCCTTAAGATTTTTGCATCATATTGCCAAACAAATTTACTTACTATTAACCATTCCAAATCTAAAGTCCTAATTTTTTCCAGGAGTCGTAAACTGTATAGATGGGAACTTGAGGGGAAGCCAATTGAACAAGTTTACAAATTTCAATATCTAGGAATTTACTTCCAGTATAATATGGGATGGAAAGCGCATATCACATATTTACAAAACAAGGTGAAAGCCCTTATCTACGCTATACTACGCTTCTTCTTTACTGAGGGGGCTATGCATGTTCCATCCGCCTTAAAAGTTTATAGTGCAAAAGTGGTTGCAACTATGGCCTATGCGGTCCCTTTATGGGGCGTCTTTGTAAACCTCTTGCCTCTGGTGACATTGCAAAATCTTTTCTAAGACGCCTTTTGAAACTACCCTCCTGTGTAAGCAACTCTGCCATTCGCTTAGAACTTAAGACCCCTCCCTTGAGATTCTGATGTGGAGACATGCCTTTAATTATTGGCTGTCCCTTTGGCATAAATTGCCAAACTACCATCTTATTCAGTGCCTTTGGAGAGATGAATTCACCAGCCCATGGGCAACAAAAATCCATTCCAAACTGTTGTCTTATGGAATCTCTCCCTCCGATATACTTAATTTAGATCTAATTACAGCTAAAAAGGTCATCAAACAAAGATTGGAGGATGTAGATTTACAACAAAATCTTACCACAGGTGGAGGTACATGTTCCCGATATATCAGGGCATTACATCTATGTCCCAGATACCTCGATATCTGTCTACTTTATCGGCTGCGTCGCATAGATTCGCATTTGTTAGAGCCAGATTTAATGTGTTCCCCTCAAATGTGCTGAGCAATAGATTTTCTAACGGTAAAATCTCTGTTTTGTGCGCATGTGACAACAAATCGATAGAATCCCTTTATCATATCTTGTTTAATTGCCCCTTATACAATGTTCCCGATCCAGGATCCTGAGTTCAATCATCCTGGAAATTGCTGCTAAACCACCTGAATTACATCTAGCTTATCTACTCCAGGACATTGACTCTTATAGAACTTTACAGGTTGCTAGATTCCTGATCTCAGTTCTGTCATATAAAAGACTTCAGGGAATGCTGCATGACTATTAAAATTCAGTAAACTCTATGCACCATCTTTATCTTCAAGGCCATAACACGGTACATTTAGAGATTATGCGTTGAAATATTTTAGTTGATATTTTAGATTGTAAAATGCTATTGATTTTATCTATTGATTTTTATCTATTGATTTGTTTTACCTTGTGGGCTTATAGCCGAATAAAGTATTATCTATCTATCTATCTATCTACTCACGCATACCAGCCAGCTTCAAAGGAGAGGCCTCCAGTGGCTCTTTGCAGCACACAGCATTGCAGCCAGTCTCCCTGCTTTCTCCCAGGCAAAGCCTCAAAGCAGGACTTTTTTTCCTTCCGGCAGCAAAACAGCAGCTTCTCAACTTTCTCAATCTTTTAAGCACACAGCACTTCAAAGCAGGCTTCCTCTAATTGCAGTAACTGTCTCCCATAACCTGTTGAGCAGATTGATTTATTGCTCAGATAAGCCTGACGTCCGGCACACTTCCCACTGCGCAGCTCTTGCTGGCCAGGCCTCTGCATTCCAAAGTCCACATTCCGATGTGCTGAGCAAAGCAGAGATCTGCAGCGGCAAGCGAAAGACTGCAAAAAACTCCAGAGCATTCTTCAGTGTGCTTAAATAAAGTCCACTCAGGATCTTAGCAGCTAAAAGCAGTTTTATTTACAGCAGACTATCCATTATCTATCACAGTGAACAGCATCGTGAAAACACGTCCTCTCTCCTCAAAAGCGAAAGTAGAGAGAAAGAACAAAGGCTTGAGGTTCTCGGAAATGACGAACCTCCCCCCTCCCAACAGTAGGCAGGGCGTACACTCTGAGCTGTTTAACCCTGTAAGCTCAGGTTCTCCTCACACTGTTGTGCTTCAATACAGCCCCATCGGTCAGCCTGGACACTGAGGTCCAGCGCTGAGGGCCTTCTGGTGGTTCCCTCATTGCGAGAAGCGAAGTTACAGGGAACCAGGCAGAGGGCTTCTCGGTAGTGGCGCCCGCCCTGTGGAACGCCCTCCCACCAGATGCCAAAGAAATAAACAACTATATGACATTTAGAAGACATCTGAAGGCAGCCCTGTTTAGGGAAGCTTTTAATGACTGATGTTTTGATGTATTTTTAATCTTTTGCTGGAAGCCGCCCAGAGTGGCTAGGGAAACCCAGCCAGATGTGCGGGGTAGAAATAATAAAATATTATTATTATTAAATTATTGTAATAATAATAATAATAATAATAATAATAATAATAATAATACTTTATTTATACCCCACCCATCTGGCTGGGCTTCCCCAGCCACTCTGGGCGGCTTCCAAAAAAATATTAAAATACTGTGATACATCAAACATTAAAAGCTTCCATAAACAGGGCTGCCTTCAGATGTCTTCTAAAAGTCTGGTAGTTGTTGTTCTCTTTGACATCTGGTGGGAGGGCATTCCACAGGGCTGGCGTAACTACCAAAGGCCCTCTGCCTGGTTCCCTGTAACCTGGCTCTCGCAGTGAGGGAACCGCCAGAAGGCCCTTGGTGCTGGACCTCAGTGTCTGGGCAGAACGATGGGGGTGGAGACGCTCCTTCAGATATACTGGACTGAGGCCGTTTAGGGCTTTAAAGGTCAGCACCAACACTTTGAATTGTACTCGGAAATGTACTGGGAGCCAATGTAGGTCTTTCAAGACCGATGTTATATGGTCTCGGCGGGCGCTCCCAGTCACCAGTCTGGCTGCCGCGTTCTGGATTAGTTGTAGTTTCCGGGTCACCTTCAAAGGTAGCCCCACGTAAAGCGCATTGCAGTAGTCAAAGCGGGAGATAACCAGAGAATGCACCACTCTGGCGAGGCAGTCCACAGACAGATAGGGTCTCAGTCTGCGTACCAGATGGAGCTGGTAAACAGCTGCCCTGGACACGGATTCGACCTGTGCCTCCATGGACAGCTGTGAGTCCAAAATGACTCCCAGGCTGCGCACCTGGTCCTTCAGGGGCACAGTTACCCCGTTCAGGAAAAGGGAATCCTCCACACTTGCCCGCCTCCTGTCCCCCAAAAACAGTACTTCTGTCTTGTCAGGATTCAGTTTCAATCTGTTAGTCGCCATCCATCCTCCAACCGCCTCCAGACATTCACACAGGACCGTCACTGCCTTCAATGGTTCTGATTTGAAGGAGAGGTAGAGCTGGGTATCATCCGCATACTGATGAACACCCAGCCTAAACAGAAAGAGAATTTGAAGGGGCAGTCTTTTCTGGAAGTGCCAAATGAAGCTACTGACCCATTTCTAAGTCCTAAAATCCACAATTTCTCTGAATACTTGAAAAACCCAGCGGTGCAGGACCTCCTAGCATGGCATCTGCTGGGGAACATTTCCTAGCACTTGGCTGGGAGCTGCTGCTGCGCTATAGTCAGGAAAGGCTTTCTGTATATCGGTAAGTCCCAACAGTTGAATAGGAACCTTCAAAAACAATGTATGTATTTGTATCTCAGACGTTTTAAGCTATTTCACATGTCCACCAAGCACGAGAAAATGTCCCTTCATCTTCTTGACATTTCCAACAAATATGTGGTATGTTTTCATGTATTCAAAATAACTTCTCGGGAGTTAGATACTAACAATACTTATATATATATATATTTAAAAGTCTATTTTAAGTCATAACTCAATGTATATTTTAACTCTTTAGTCTACATATGTTACCACTATTCAAACTGTACAATATAACCAAAAAAAGAGAAAATCTTGCCCCTTTAATCATGCACTTTTTAGTCTGTTCCTCTTCCATTTAGGATTTCAACAAAAGTTTGTACATTTTTGATATCACATGATGTGCACAATTGTATCTCAAAACCCGTCTTCCACTCTTCCATACCCCAAGTCTTCATTTCCAACTAGAATCTCTCAATCAATCAATCAATCATTTATTTGTATGTTGCCTTTCCAAATTTCAAACCATGTGCAAGGCAGCTTACAAAAAAATTAAAATATTCCATAACTGCAAACATAACAAAACTAGTCTCTTCTTTCTCAATATCCCCATTCCATTAACCGCACCAAGCACCAAGCTGTCAAATACAAGTTTAAAACACAAGCTTTCCTTTGCATCTCGCAGAACTTTAAATGTAATTTGTGGGTTTTTTCACCTGTCCTCCAAACTTAGGTCTTTTTGCCATCCTTTAAATGGGAAATCGGTAGTCGAGCCATACTTTTGGTAAAACGTTCGTCTGGATCCCGGAAGTCCTACCTGAGATGGGAGGTTCCGCTAGTACCAGCCACTTCTCCTTCTGCAAGCAGCGCCACCCGAATTCCCACCTGGGATGAGCCGCTAAACTGAGCCGCCGGAGAAAGACTGGGGCGGGCGGCAAGTGGGAGGGGGAAGTCCTGCGCTTCTGTCCCATGAGAAAAGTCCTGCTCCTCCCAGGAGGTTCCCGTCTCCACTCCTCCACATGCAGCTGCTGGGTGACCTTGGGCCAGTCACACTTCTGGGAAGTCTCTCAGCCCCACTCACCTCACAGAGTGTTTGCTGGGGGGGAGGAAGGGAAAGGAGAATGTTAACCGCTTTGAGACTCCCGAAGGGGAGTGAAAGGCGGGATATCAAATCCAAACTCTTCTTCTTCTTCTTCTGGGCTGCCACAAAGCCCATCAAGGCCACAGGCTGCTAGCATAACTCATCCTGGCTTTCTCATCCGAGGGGAAAGGGTGCGTGGTCGTAAACGCTGGCCTTGGCAACTTGGCTGAGCTACCTTGGGCCAGTCCTTGGGCCAGCTTAGCCTCCCTCACAGAGGGTTGTTCTCAAGATACACTCAGGAAAACACCTGAGGCATGAAGAAGAAGAACGAGGAGAATGGGGTCTGGATAAGGGGGTGGGGAGCGCTCTCACCCCAGCCGCTCCAGAATGGGAAGTGCGTCCCAGGGGAAGCGGGATTCAGGCGGAGGAGGACGTCGGGTTGGGTGGGGGTTGCCAGGAGCAGCACGATGTCCCTCGAACCCCCGGCTTCCACTCTCCAGGCAGGCACCCAACGTGGCCAGCTGGCAAGGGCTCTTTCTTACTGCAGCCTTGGCGTGCAGATCCCGGGTTCAGCCCCAGATCCAGGTTCTGATATTATGAGGGAGAAAACATCGCTCTGCACCTTTCCCACATCATGCATACTTCTATGATGTCCCCACTTTCCCCCCTCTCCCAAAGCCCCAAAGCCTCCTACATTGTAAGCCTTCCTTACAGGGGAATCATCAGAGCCACCTGTGCTGCAGAGCTTCTGGCTGAAAGGTGACTCATGGAGATTTGCAATGACTGCTGCAATGCACCCCTAATGATTCAGATTGTATCATTATAGCGTCATTGTGTTTATTTGTGGTTGATATATTAAATTTGTATAATCTTAGAAGCAGTGTGGCTGTGAGTACCATGAAGGGAGGCTGCTCTTTGTGATTTGCCAGGGCACTACTGCAGGTTAGGAAGGAGGAAGAGGCAAAGATCCTTTTCCCAGTAAAACATGTTTGCACCCAGGGTGTTTCCAGACTGTCAGTATTTTGTAGGAGGGATTCAGGTCCAGCCGAGAACTTCAGCTTTTCCAATGAGAATGGATTAAAGCACTCTGACCATTCCCTTAGTAGAGTCTAATCACTGTTGTAAGTTTTGGGTAAGCAAGACATGAATGCAAAACAAACAAGTGGTCGTCTCCTCCGGAGGAACCCCTACACTGTAAATATATTGACAGCACACTTCCAGGTCGTTGGCATCGGCAGTGGCGTAGCGTGGGGGGTGCAGGGGGGGCCGGCCGCACCGGGCGCAACATCGAGGGGGGGTGCGCTCGCACTCGCAGCTCTCTGCCCCCTGCTAAAATCCACAGGTTAGGGGGCGCAAATTACTTGCCTTGCCCCGGGTGCTGACAACTCACGCTACACCACTGGGCATCGGCATCCCAGAACTGTGAAGGTTGCCTCAACTGTTGAGCAACACAGCTAAGGAAGAAGGAGTGGAGTGTCTCCGGGGGGAGCATAGCTCCCATTCCCTTCCAAACACACAGACAGGACAGTGTGGTGGCACCCAGGGAACAGTTGCAGCAGCCGGATGGCTGGCTGAAACACACACCATTGCACTCTTTTTGGATGGGATTCACTCTGAATCAGCCAGTTACTGAACGTGGAGCTACAGTGGACCACACCCACTACAAAAATGCTCTTCACCTCACCCTTCCAGGTCCCTCCAGCTGGGCTTTTTTGAGTGTGATGGGTTTTTCTCACTCCAGAGCAGTTTGTCTTTAAGTGAAGGTCACCAGGAAAGCAAGGGAGACTAAAAAAATTGCACTCTTGGTTTCCTGGAAGAAGATCAAAAGACTCCCCTGGACTAGAAGAGACATCTCATTAACAACTGGAGAAATGCCAAAGAACTTTGGATATCTGCTTGGGAGGTTTCTGATGCAGTATTAATTTAACAAGGAGCCAGGAGTGAAACCGAAAGTAGACTGACCAGCTAGCTGAATCCAATTATATTGCTATGGGGTGGGGGGAACCTCTAACATTTTACTTTTTGATACTTGTACTTCCAGGGTGAATTGAATGGGTGGGTGGGGGGGTGGAGGAGAGGCAGAAAGAAGAGCTAACTTGTCCGTGGCTAGGGGGCGCAATCTGGACGGTTCTGCCGGGGCGCAAGTGTTAGGATATTTCCGTTCCACCTTAAAAGGGAGCAGGCTTTGTGAGTCAGAGTCTGCGTATTTCCTGTTCACAGGATGTTTATGTTTTCTGTTGCTTTCGTTTTCTCTCTCTTGTGTCGCAGACACTAAAGCAGGCAGTCACGTTTTTCTGTGTTCTGATCAACGCTGAATAAACTTGTAAATAATGCTCTCCTGACTGCAACTTTTGGCTGTGCTAATCTGCTGATAGAGTGTGCATGAGCTCTGGAATGTGGCAAGAAATCTTCTAGAAACTCATGTCGCTAATTGATGATACTGCGTACCTACGGGAGGTCGATGGATCGTCCGGCAGACGGCTTGGGGGCCTTGATGGACTTTATCTCCCTGGCAGTATCCCAACAACAGGTTTCGGGCCCAGATTCACAGCACTTACAGGAGAGTAAGACTGCGACAGACTGCTGAAAGGTATGTGGAGGAAAAGCGAAAGTGAGGCTTTTCGTTGCCGCGGCAAGAGCTTTGATGTCCGGCAGGCCTAATTGGTCTGGGCGTCGAGCCCAGAAGGCTTCGTGATTAATGAGCTGCTAAGATAAGATGTCTCTGAAGTGAATAAGATTCACGGCTCAAGTAGAAACCTGGAATGGAGTTTTTCCAGGCTTCTGAGGCTGCTGAGTGCCCAAAGTTAAATCGGCACAACTATCAGACCTGGGCAAAATGGTGTGAGAGTTTGCTGCGTCAGTTTGGAGTGTGGCATACTGTGTCTGAAGCCCCTCCAGTTCCTCTGACAGATAGATGGAAGGCCAAAAATTCGAAGGCCGTTGACGTAATCGTCTTGTCCGTCTCTCTGGAGGAAATAAAGACGCTTGCTGGCAATCTGACTGCACGAAAGATGTGGCATGCTTTGAAGATAGCCCATCAGCCAGTCATCCCAGCCCAGAGTTTGACTGCATCGGAGGTCCTGGCTGTTTCCCAGAATGCGAATGAATGCAGGGATGCTGAGGGCACCGGTTGCAAGCTGCAGGGGGAGTTGACTGTCATGTCATCCCAGGCAGCATTCCAGCCTCCAGGGGGAGCCAAGGAGTCGGCAGCTGAGAACTCTGTTTCTCGTGGGAGCCAAGGTCATCGCCTTTGCAGAGGCCGGAAGGGCAAAGGTAAACAGAGGCAGACGCCTGCAGATGGCCAGAAGCAGAGGGAGGGTGAAGAGCCCACGCCAGAGGAAAACAAGGTTTTGTTTACTGGCACAGCTTCACCAAAGGCTAAAGGCAAGTCTGATGGCCAGGAGCAGGGGGGCAAGCTGCAAAAGCCCACGCCAGTGGAAAACAAGGTTTTGTTTACTGGCACAGCTTCACCAAAGGCTAAAGGCAAGTCTGATGGCCAGGAGCAGGGGGGCAAGCTGCAAAAGCCCACGCCGGTGGAAAACAAGGTTTTGCTTGCTGCAAAGGCTGCTCCAAAAGCCAAGGCCAGGTTTGTTATTGATTCAGGCTGTACCCGCCATGTGTCGAAAGACCGCCATCTCTTTATCTCCTTCAAGCCTCAAGAAGGTGAGATCCACCTGGCTGACGGAAAGACGTTGCGAATCGCAGGAGAAGGGACTGTGAAACTGGCAAGTCTGCACACTACCATCAAAGATGTACTATATGTTCCAGGTGCTGCAGACAATTTGCTTAGTGTCCCACAGCTGACTGGGCGTGGTTTTGAGATTTCCTTCAAGAGGAGCGTTTGTGTCATCAGAAAAGGCAAAGAGGACATTTTGCATGCAAAGTTTATGGATGGCTTGTTCTGTATAACTTATGACGACAATGGTGCTGTTGTGTCTAATGTTGATTCTTGTTGTGTTGCACAAACTAACAAAGTTCTTCATGCAGGATGCATTCACGATGCACATCGAAGATTTTGCCATCTCTCTTGGAAGGCACTGGCCAAGATGCCAGAGATGGTTGAGGGTTTGAACATCAAACCCTGTAAGTTTCACATGAAATGTGTATCTTGTGCAGAGAACAAGGTGAAGGTTGCTCCAAAAGGCAAGGAGTCTAGCAGGCAGGCTTCCAAACCCTACCAGCTAGTGCACGCAGACCTGGTTGGTCCACTTGCGCCCTCTTTGGGTGGAGCAAGGTACTTCATGGTTCTAATTGATTCTTTTTCCAGGTACATTCATGTGTTTATGCTCGAGCAGAAATCGCAAGCGTTTCCTAAGTTCAAGGCATTCTGTGCTTGGTTGGAGAATGTTCATGGTAAACGCATTGGCTGTCTGTTTACTGATCGAGGCGGGGAGTTCACTTCTCAGCAGTTTGAAGCTTTCCTGACTGAGAAGGGAATCCAGCATGACTTGTCAACGCCTAGATCGCCATGGATGAATGGGCTTGCGGAGCGAGCAAATCAAACGTTGCTGCAAGGAATGAAAACATTGTTGCATGATGCCAATCTCCCTGATAAGTATTGGGGGGAGGCTCTGTCGAATTTTGCTTACACTTATAATCGCTGATTGTCGTCACCTATTGGTTGTACCCCTATGAGAAGATGTTTGGTAAGAAACCCAACATCAAGCACATGAGAATCTTTGGTTCTGACATGTGGGTACACACCCCACAGAGCAACAAGCTTGGGAAGCGTGGGGCACATGGTTTGTTCATGGGGTACGAAAAAGGTGCATACAGGGTATGGATGACTAACTCTAAGTCCATTAAATTCACAAAGAGTGTTGAGTACAATCCTAAGTGGGGGGAAAATGTGGGAATTTTCCAGAGTTACCCAGAGGAGGATGAGGGTGATGTCAAAGAAGCAGCTAAAGCTGAGGAAGCTGCTGAGGATGATGATGATGATGATGATGATCAGAGTTCGGATTCCAGTTCAGTGGGTGGCGCTGCTGCTGATGTCAGCGACAATGATGACACAGCAGACTACAAGAGTGCAAAGGCCTCAGTCAGACCATCTGATGCGTCTGACAATGAACTGGAAGAACCACTGTTCACCATTGGTCACTTTTCTCCTAAGAAGGAGGAGATGAGTCCAGAAGACTTGCGTCTAGTACGCAGATCTGAAAGAGCCACCAAGGGCAGACCTCCAAAGAGATTTGCTGATGAGTTTGCTAAGACAGCAACTGCTGTTCTTAGTAGCTCAGAGAAGGTGTGGGAACCTTCAAGCTTCAAAGAGGTTCAGGAGTTAACCTCTAAAGATGCTGAGCCTTGGCTTAATGCCATGAAGGCTGAAGTTGATTCCTTGAATAGGAACCAAACTTGGGAGTTGGTACCGGTAGTCCCAGGGATGAGACTGGTTGGCAGCAAATGGGTCTTCAAAGCCAAGACAGACCAGAATGGCAAGGTTGTCAGACACAAAGCCAGATTGGTTGCCAGAGGTTTTCACAGGTACCAGGACAGGATTACCACAAGACCTATTCACCCACCATCAAATATGAGAGCATTCGGCTGATGCTCAAGATAGCTGCAGAGGAGAAACTGCATGTTTCCAATCATGACATTAATACAGCTTTTTGTACGGGGTTCTGGGGGAGGAGCTGTTTATGCTTCCACCTGACGGGATGCAGATACAGAAGGGAATGGTCTGTAAACTGCGGAAATCCTTATATGGTCTCAAGCAGAGTGCCAGGTGTTGGAACACAAAACTCACTGAGACATTGCTTTCTCTAGGTTTTCACCAGGGCAAAGCTGATCCATGTGTGTTTGTCAAGGAGGAGGGGCAAAACAAACTGTATTGTTTATGTTTTGTTGATGATCTTCTGATGTTTTGGAAGAATCAGGCTTTGTACCAAAGCACCCTAGCTCAACTGAAGGAGCACTTTGACATGAAGGATCTTGGTGAGGTATCCAACTATCTTTCTCTGCAGGTGGAGAGGGACCAAGCAGGTAATTTTCTGGTACACCAAACACAGAAAATTGCTGATGTATTAACCAGGTTGAATTTGGTTGATGCAAACCCAGCAGACACACCGATGGTGACAGGTTACCAGGTAGACAGTACTGCTGAAGCGTTTTCTGACACAACGCTGTACAGATGCATTCTAGGCAAGTTGAATTTCATTGCTAGATGCTCAAGACCTGACATAGCTGTAAGCTGTAACCTGCTTAGCAGACATGCTAACAATCCTACTGTTCAGGATTGGAAAGCTCTGAAGCGCATAGCCCGCTATTTGAAAGGGACTTTGCACTACAGGCTGAGGTTCACCAGTCAGAAGACTGGAGGTCTTGAAATCTTTGCAGATGCAAGTTTTGGAAGTGACACCACGGATGGTACAAGCACTTCTGGAGTATGCTACATGTACAACCACTGCCTGTTTGACTACTGCTCTGCGCCTCTGGACCAGGGTTGGATGGTGCTCATTGGGACTGGGAGGGTGGAAGGCAAGGAGGCCAACAGCAGGTGGCGCCAGAACCAAGGAGTTGCAGAGCCAATGTGTTCTGTATCTGAGATGGAGTGGGAAGGGGCTGGCGGCCACCGCAGTCATCCCCTGTCTGCCCTCATGGAACGGCCAGAATCCAGTAGGCAAATGCTCATCTTGCCAGAGTCTGGGTCTTCTGCTGTTGCTCTCTCAGAAACCGTGCCCAGGTGGGATGCTTCGTTTTTCGTAGCTGCTTCATCCCTGAGGAAGTTGGAGGGGACACAACTCCTGCATCTCTGTCGTGGGAAGGTTTGGAGGTATTTCAATTTCCACCCTTCTTCCTTGGCTCTGTGGAAAGAAGGCATCTTTACATTTTGAGCGCATTTCACAGGCCAGGAGCCAAGCACCCCTTCTGGAGGGGGAGAAGAGGCCCAGAAAAGATGAGCCCTTCTCACCCCAAAGGCGTTCCCCTGAGATTCAGCTTCCGGGCTATGGCTAACCAGGTTAGGAGCAGGAATATTGGGAGCGGGAAGGAACTGATGTCATCTGCCAGAGCAGCTGGCTAAGTGAAGGGAATGAGGTGATAACAAGGCTTTCAAATCTGAACTCTTGTTTGTGGCTGGTTAGGATAGAGGGAGGTGGAGAACAAGGGCAATCGGAAGCAGACTCTGGGTAGTTGGTTCCGTTTCTTTGTTCGGGTTCCTACGTCATACCAGCAGTTTAAATGGCAACACTCCTTTGCAAGATTGTCCACCTTTTTAATTCTTTGTTATGGAAAATCAATAAATGATAAGTTGCCCCTGCCAAAGGGTTGCATGGCATCTGGCTGAAGACTTTTTGTGCTAAACGTTGAAGCTATGCTGGTGTGTGTGTGTGTGTGTGTGTGTGTGTGTTGCAGAATGGTTTAATTAGCTCATTCTCCTCCTAGCACATCGTCTTCATTCAACTCTGGCTGTTGAATGAATGCTTTCTTATAATCATTCTTATGTTTAAGTGGGCTTTGGCCTCCTTCCAGACAGCAGCTTGAAAGGGAAGCAGAGGAAAACTCAAATGATGACAGAAGGCAGGGGCATCCAACAACCCAGAGTTTTGGTTTGGATGTGACACTTTTAGACTTCCCCAAGCCATCCCGAAGCCCCAATTTCCCTCAGCCCCATTTCACTCTGGTCCATCTGAGTATCTCCTTTCCACCTATGCCTCCCCTCCCCGCAAAATATTCACAATTAAGAAATCAGAAAACAACCCCCCCTCTCTTTCGACAGAACTAGATGGAATGATCAGGCATAGCAACTCCTGCAGAGAGGATAAAACCAAAATGTTTCCAAGGGACACATTTATCAAACAAGATATCTGCCCATAGCTCAGTCAGAAGAGTGTGAGACTCTTCATCTCAGGTTTGTGGGTTTGAGCCCCACGGTTGGCAAAATATCCCTGCATTGCAGGGGGGTGGACTAGATGACTCTTGTGGTCCCTTCCAACTCTACAATTCCATGATATCCTGTGAGGAGTAGTCAACTGAGTTTTACTCAGAAGAGATGCGTCAAAATCAACACAGCCACGTAATTTGTGCCCATCAATTTAAATAGGTCTGCTGTGGAAAGGACTGATGTTGACTACAACCCTGATGTTTTCTGATTATTTTATAGAGCGTTTCCCTCAATACCAAAAAATGGAGGCAGAGACAATTTACTGAATTTCAAAACCACCGAAGCTTTATTGAATGAACAAATCAATTTATTACAGTCACAAACCAGAATATGGACTTATACAGAGATAGAGATCATGTAGAAGAAGAAGAAGAAGAGTTTGGATTTGATATCCCGCTTTATCACTACCCTAAGGAGTCTCAAAGCGGCTAACATGAATGAACTTTATTACGGTCACAGACCAGGATTAAGAAAAGCATATAGATAAAATAGCAGTTGGGATAGAATCATAGAATCATAGAGTTGGAAGAGACCACAAGGGCCATCGAGTCCAACCCCTTGCCAAGCAGGAAACACCATCAGAGCACTCCTGACATATGGTTGTCAAGCCTCTGCTTAAAGACCTCCAAAGAAGGAGACTCCACCACACTCCTTGGCAGCAAATTCCACTGTCGAACAGCTCTTACTGTCAGGAAGTTCTTCCTAATGTTTAGGTGGAATCTTCTTTCTTGTAGTTTGGATTTTTGACCGATAATTGTTAGAGCAAATGAGGACAAGGAAACAGGCATAAAACATCCGAATAAAATACAAGATTAAACACAGATAATGGATAAATAAAAAACTAATAATTAAAACCAATAAGAGCTAAAAACCAACAAAGACACGCAATTAAAACAGCTGTAAGAGCATAAAAACTAAAAAACTCGCAGATAAAACAACTATAAGAGGCTGCAGAGTAGAAGCCTCTTAAATAGAGGACTCTCACAACGTTAAAAACTGCTGTACAAATATGGTTAAAACAGACAATTAAAACAATATACAACACTAAATTTAGAAAACCATGTGCAATAATAAACTGTCTCAGAATCACCCATGGAACCGTGTTTGGGGCTTTTCATGCCGGACTATTTTGGGTTGGGCAATGGTCTGCACCTACAGATCTGTAGACAGAATCTGGCGACCATCCAGGTCATCTTCTGATCTTTGCCCAACAGCAAAAGGTCAAATTTTTGCTTTTGCGGGAGGTCAGCGAGCCTCACCAGTAGGGGATCCATGATCTTACTACGTGCCTCTTTATAAAAGGGACATCTTAAGAACAAGTGTTCTGGGCTTCCTATCTCTCCCAATGGACAGGTGCAAAGTCTCTGAGCATACGGGACCCTTCTGAAGGCTCCATCCAGGGCCGGCGAGGGAAGAGCCGAGCTTCTGGAGAGTGTAAAGGCCCTTCTTGCATCCCTAAGGAGTCTCAAAGCGGCTAACATTCTCCTTTTCCTCCTCCCCAACAAACACTCTGTGAGGTGAGTGGGGCTGAGAGACTTCAGAGAAGTCACCCAGCAGCTGCATGTGGAGGAGCGGAGACGTGAACCCGGTTCCCCAGGTTACGAGACTGCTGCTTTTAACCACTACACCACACTGGCTCTCATATATATGTAGGTTAAAATCAAAATCTATAAGCTAGAACACAGTAAAGAATTCAGATGTGAAACTATTAAAATGTGTAGTTTAAGACCTTAACCGCCAATTTAAAATATGCATGTCAATGCTTTATTATAATTAAGGCAGGTAAAATAATTATTACTCTTAATAGTATTCATTGCTATGAGGCTTCTTGAAGCAATTCAGAATACAATCAACATTAGCAGAACACTTTCCTTTACAAGGACAATTTAAAAAGCAACACTTTAAAAGCAATAAAAAGTAATATTGCATAGGAAAGAATTCTAAAACAACAGCAATGATCACAATTAGCAACAAGACACAATGAAACAGCAAGCAAAAATTGCCACTCCATCATCGCTGAGCCTTGAAACTTGTGTCTTATCCCCATAATCGAAACTGACATCAAGTCTTATGTCATCTGGAAGAGAATGAAGGAGAAGAGAGATGAATTTCTGCCACATTTACTGATTCACCAAATTGACCTGGCCCCCATTCCACCCTATTTACAAGGAGGCTTTATGGATCCTGTCTTTGGTGGCAACGACTCCTTCCAAGCCTGCAGTTTGGCCATCTTTGTGCTGTGGCAGGATTTCACAGCCACATGACCCAGGAGGTCTGCATCAAGCAAGGCTGCTGCAGCTACTGAGTGGGCTCTCCTTAGTCTGGAAAGTGCGTCCCATGTCCCCAGGCTGTGGGTGTTACCTTCTTTGGGGCAGAAGTGAGCCAGCTCCAGAGGGACGAGAGCATGCTGTAGGGAAAAGAAAAGACCGTACTGGATCAGATGACTGATCTGATCCTCAACCCTCCCCCCCCCAAATAATGGGTGCAAGAGAACATGGAAGCAGACCCAAGCCAGGGAAGACTTGCTTCCATCATGGGATGAGTGAGTTCTATTGCCTGGCCCCAAGGTGGAAGTGTAAGATCATGGAAGAGGGCAGGAAATGTCTCCAGCCTGGTCCGGCATCCCAGGAACACACATTGTGTTGTGTGCCTGATACCAGACTGTGATTCCTCCTGTGGGAATCCTTTCACAAGCCACTCTGGGAGCCTCTTGGGGCTGTGAAGGTGCCAAAGGTGAGAGACTTACCTTCAGGCAACTGAGCCTTCTTGCACAGGACATCAGCCAGCTAATGCCACTGGCTGCCAGTTGCCTCTCCGCTGCAATCACACTTGTTGTGTAACCTCTCAGTTCCTGTGGGAGGAAAGGGGACCTCAGAATCAGGAGGCTGGTCTGGGGGAGAGAGGCAGACCACTGTGAAGCCCTTTACACTCTCGGAGAGAGATCCGTTTCTGTTCTAAAATGGCAATGTCCTCCAGCCCCAAATTGTAGCTCTGCATCCAAGGCCCTCCTTTGGCTGTCTGGGCAAGTGGGCCTTTGCTGGCTCGTCCATGTGGCCAGCTTGCCTTACAAGAGGGGAAGGGCCCAAGAGGTGCACTGCTAGGTGGCAGCTTCTCCATGAAAGCTTTCTAGGTCAAACAGCCACTGAGGCCATCAATATACTTACATTCATCAGCAAGTTCAGGATCTTAGTGCTTGGGGCCTCCCAGAGGAGGCCTCCCAACATCAGAGTATAACGTTCCTCTAACTCCTGCAGGCAATGAGGGAGAGGATGCGCCAAGCAGGGGAAAAAGAGATCAGATGTTGAGCAATTGGAGCAATGCTTAAAGCGTGTGAAGAAGAAACAACAACTAGAGAAGTCAAATTTCAAGGCTAACAACTTACCTGCTTGTTGGGCTCAGTTTGACCTCAATGACTGCCTCAAAGGCTGCATGCACAATCAGGCTGTGGAGCTTCAGTGGTAATTTGGGCTTCATGAGGCTGGAGAGAAGGAGGGAAAAGTTTTTAGACTTTGTCTCATATTGGGGGAAGCATCAAATACATGTCATTCTCTTGAAGTTCTAGTGAATGCATGTGTTAGCTTAAACCACTTTTTACAATCAAGCAGCGTATCAGTTTTACAGGGTAAAAATGAATAAAGGTAAAATTAAAATAAACACACGAGGGCACTGTTTATGCGGCAGTCTACCTGGCACTTGGTTGCAAGCCTCTAGGTCTTAGTTAATCCCACCCCTAAAAGCTGAGCCATTTCACAGTCATTTCTAGACAATATAGCTTCTATTTTCTCTCTCACATCTCCACTCATCCTGTAAATAGTTGCTGCATAAAGAAAGCTTTTTGAACGCAAGAAACCCAAGAAATTGTAAGCAATTCTTCCAGTCTAATTCACTGCAGTGGCAAGGTCTGGTAACACCTTCCCACATTCTGCTCCCCCCCCCCCCCCGCCAGCTCCTCGTCAAGCTCAAAAAACCCGGTATACCTCAGTTGGTAAAGGGCTTCCAGCGCCATAGCAAGGGCCAATTCAGGCTGCGTAAAGCACGCAATCCGTCCCATGAGATCCTGATAGAGAACAGAGGGCGGAGGGGGAAAACGTCAGTTCCCTACGGACATCAGGTGGATTCCTCCAACCCCAAACTCAGTGCAGGAATTGGCAATTTCATGCCAAATGCCTGCACAACCCTTCTCTTGGCCAGACCCCGCCAGGCCTTCCTTCTGCCCAGCAACCCCCAAATCCCATCCCCAGCTCTCCTGCCCACCTCACCCCTGGATACCTCATGCAACCTCTCACTCACCGCAATTGCCTTGATGGCCATCTTTTTGGAGTACCTCAACCTGTCCTTTTCTCTCGCGCGGGCCTCCGAGCAAGTGGCCAGCACGCAGCAGAGCAACATCTCATCCTTCTCCAGTTGCTGAAATGGCAAGAGTCAGGCTGTCAGTTCATGACAGGAGGGCTTCTCTGCATCTGAGACCGCCAAAATGGGGGTACAAACAGCACTGGTGGATGGGGGGGGGGTGAGGGATTTCGTATGTACTGTGCTGTTTTCTCAAATACTAACCACAGGCGATGCCCAGACCCTGCCAGTCTCTGAACCATCTGCAACAAGAGAAGAAGGAAAGGACATGGGGGCAGGTTAGTTCATTTCTACTTATTTTCCACAGTTGAGGATTAGAGCATTAAGGCCACCCCTCCTTACGCTCCAAAATGAAAAGGAAGCATTTGCTCATGTGGGCCCACAGCAACCCTGGACTTCTTGGGGACTTTGCGGGTCCCCTTCTTCTTGCGGGCTGCCATGTCCCTCAGTCGCCTGAACCTAGAAGAGAAGGAGAGGGGCAGACCTTGTTGTTGTTGTTGTTGTTATACCGCCCTATACCCACAGGTCTCAGTACCCCAAACATTTTTTTTTTTAATAGAAAAAAGCACTGGTTACAACATAAAAATTGCAATATAAAAACACAAAATGCATAATAAAGGTGAAAAACAACCCAGTAAAGCCCCCTCCCCAACACATTTCAAAACCTGAGACAGAAGCCTACAACCAAAATGGTGTGTGTGTGTGTGTGTGTGTGTGTGTGTGTAAGAGAAGACAGGGAGTAAAAACCTGCTCTGACCATAATGCGGTAAGGATGGAGTTGAAACTAACATCAACTGGCTCCTTCAGATGGAGGATGAATGACACCCTATTTAGAGATGAAGAAGTCTATAAAAAGGCCCAAAAAACCTTGAGAGACTATTTTGAGATAAATATGAATACTAATGTAGAAAAAAGAGTAATCTGGGACGCAAGTAAAGCTGTCATGAGAGGGTTTCTGATACAACAGAATGCAATAAAGAAGAGAAGTGAAAATGAGAAGAAAGATAAAATTTTGGGGAAAATAAAAGAAAGTGAAAAGAAATTGAGAGCAAAACCAAAGTCGCAGGAGATTTTGAGAGAAATAAAGTTATATCAAGTACAATATATGGAAATGATGAATCAGGAAATAGAATGGAAAATTAAACAAATGAGACAAAAACATTTGAATCAGCTAACAAATGTGGGAAATTGCTGGCCTGGCAAATGAAAAAAGACAAAAATTAAATACTATCACAAATTTAGAAGTGGAAAGAAAGAATATACATAACCCAACTGAGATTAGAAATTGTTTCCAGAGGTATTTTAAACAACTATATACACAAGGGCCACAGAAGGAAATGGATATAGACCGATTTCTGAAGACAAATGGATTACAAAAAAATATCCCAAGAAAGTAAGTTAATGTTGAACTATAAAATATCTGAACAGGAAGTAGAAGGTGCCATTCAAAACATGCAATTAGGCAAATCTCCAGGACCGGATGGGCTAACTTCTAGATATTATAGATCTTTGAAAGAGTGGTTATTACAACCTTTAAAGGAAGTCTGCAATGAAATATTGGAAGGGGAAAGGGCACCAGAGTCTTGGAAAGAGGCGTACATTACACTTGTACCGAAGAAAGAGACTGAAAAGACTCAGCTTAAGAACTACCGCCCCATATCGTTACTTAATGTGGATTACAAAATTTTTGCAGACATTTTGGCCAAGAGATTGAAAAAAGTATTGATGGAAGAGATTCATAAAGACCAAGCGGGCTTTCTCCCGGGAAGACACTTGTCCAATAATTTGAGGAATATAATTGATATTTTGGAAAAACTAGAAGTGAACATAAATACCAAAGCTGTTTTGATATTTGTGGACGCGGAGAAAGCTTTTGATAATATCTCTTGGAGTTTTATGAAGAAGAACCTACAGGGGATGGGGGTAGGCCAAGGTTTTGAAAACGGTATAAGTGCAATTTATTCAGAACAAAAGGCTAAACTAATTGTAAATAATGTGGTGACGGAAGAATTTAGGATAGAAAAAGGGACAAGACAAGGTTGCCCAATTTCCCCACTGCTTTTTATATCGGTCCTGGAGGTTCTGTTGAACATGATTAGAAGGGACCGGTTGGTTAAAGGTATACAGGTCGGAGCCAAACAGTACAAATTGAGAGCATTTGCAGATGACTTAGTATTGACGTTACAGGAGCCAGAATCTAGTACCAAAAGAGTTTTAGAACTGATTCAAGAATTTGGTCAAGTTGCAGGATTTAAGTTGAATAAGTTAAAGACCAAGGTTTTAGAGAAAATTTTAACACCAATGGAGAGAGAGAGGTTTCAGAATGAGACAGGTTTAACAGTGGTTAAGAAAGTTAAATACTTGGGGATTAACATGACAGCAAAAATGGGAATTTATTTAAAGACAACTATGAAAAATGCTGGGCTGAAGTGAAAAAAGATTTAGAAATTTGGTCAAATTTGAAGCTTTCACTGCTGGGCCGTATTGCTGTGGTAAAAATGAATGTATTGCCTAGAATGTTGTTTTTGTTTCAAACACTGCAAATTGTGGACAAAATGGACTGTTTCAAGAGGTGGCAGAGAGATATTTCTAAATTTGTCTGGCAGGGCAAGAAGCCTAGAATAAAATTTAAAATATTAACAGATGCAAAGGAACGAGGTGGATTTGTCCTGTCAGACTTTAAACTTTACTATGAATCAGCAGCTTTTTGCTGGTTGAAAGAATGGTTGCTTCTTGAAAACACTGACATTTTGGATCTAGAAGGGTTCAACAATGTATTTGGATGGCATGCATATCTGTGGTATGATAAGGTTAAAGCACATAAAGCATTTAAAAATCACATTGTCAGGAAAGCATTGTTTAATGTCTGGATAAGATACAAGGACTTATTGGAAAATAAAACTCCAAGGTGGCTGTCACCGATGGAAGCAAAAGCTCTGAAAAAGCTCAATATGGAGGCCAAATGGCCGAAATATTGGGAAATTTTGGAACAAGATGGAGATAGACTGAAATTGCAGAGTTTTGAGAAATTCAAAAACAAAGTGCGAGATTGGCTTCATTATTATCAGATAATGGAGGCATATAAGTTGGATAAGAAAATTGGTTTCCAGGTGGAAAAATCAAAATTAGAAACAGAACTATTAGAACCCAAAACTAAGATTTTGTCAAAGATGTATAACTTGCTGTTGAAATGGAATACTCAGGATGAAATGGTGAAATCTGCTATGATTAAATGGGCACAAGATGTTGGACATAACATAATGATGGCTGACTGGGAACAGTTATGGACCACAGGTATGAAGTTTACGGCATGTAATGCCTTAAGAGAGAATATTATGAAAATGATATACAGGTGGTACATGACCCCAGTCAAGCTTGCAAAAATTTATCATTTGCCCGATAACAAATGTTGGAAATGTAAAGAAACTGAAGGTACATTCTTTCACCTTTGGTGGACGTGCCCAAGGATTAAGGCTTTCTGGAAAATGATATACAATGAACTGAAAAAAGTATTTAAATATACCTTCTTGAAAAAACCAGAGGCCTTTCTCCTGGGCATAGTCGGTCAATTGGTGCCAAAGAAGGATAGAACTTTTTTCATGTATGCCACAACAGCAGCAAGAATACTCATTGCAAAGTATTGGAAGACACAAGATCTACCCACTCTGGAAGAATGGCAGATGAAGTTGATGGACTATATGGAACTGGCAGAAATGACTGGCAGAATCCGAGACCAGGGAGAAGAGTCGGTGGAAGAAGATTGGAAGAAGTTCAAAGATTATCTACAGAAATATTGTAAAATTAATGAATGTTAGAACGATGTTGGATAGAAATTAAGTGGTTTCCAGCTGTAATGCTTTAAGGGAATATGAAAAATGGGTTGTTAAGAGGTAAAAATCTAATCGTTACTATTTTAAGACCAAAGATTAGGACAAATAAAGAGGGTAGGATTTGCTGAACCAACAAACTGAACTGGAATACAAAAAAGGGAGGTATGAGGAGGTCCGGGAAACAAGCTAAGGAAAAATAAGCAATGGAAAAATTGAGTGGTTTTTAATCATTTTTATTTTGTATTTTTTTTTCCATTTGTTACTGTAATATTTAAAAAAATCTTAATAAATATCTTATAAAAAAAAAAGAGAGAAGATAGGGAGTCTTTGCGGCATAGCCATAACACAAATACGGGTGGCCTAAAAGTTGCAGGCAGACCCGTATCATTTCACACACTACTTTGGCTGCGGGACATCGTATCAACAAGGAAAGGAGCATTTGGTGTTGTTGCATCTCCTTGGGTATTTGTTGATTTGTTGCCACGAGGGGTTGTAGTTGTGGAGGTATAGTTTGAGGAGGTTTCTGGTTATTTGTACCCTAGGTGCCCACTCACACACAAAAACAAATCTCCCTGCAGCCAACCAAAGACCACCAACCACACCCTAGGTCACCCCCCAACCTCTCTCACCACCAAGGAAATGGAACAAGGGAATAGTAAGTGAACCCACACAAGTGATGCTAACACAAAACCCCACACATACAGGGGAAACTCGGGAAATTAGAATATCGTGGAAAATTTCATTTATTTCAGTAATTCAACTTAAAAGGTGAAACTTCTACTTCTCAGAGGTCAAATATTGCTCTGTTTGCAATCCTTGTTTTGCTGATTTCATTTCATATTCTAATTTTCTGAGATTGTTAATTTGGGGTTTTCATCAGCTGTACGCCATAATATCACAGTCATAACAAATAAAGGCTTGACATATCTCGCTTTGCATGTCATGAGTCTATCTCATATATTAGTTTCACCTTTTAAGTTGAATTACTGAAATAAATGAACTTTTCCACGATATTCTAATTTTCCGAGTTTCCCCTGTACACTAAGTAGAAGAGAAGCATTGCCACCCGACCCCACCCTCCCCCTCTTTCCCCCTCTGTTCTTCCTAACCCAACATGCAACACTAATGTCTCACAACAAATGAAACTGATCTGTAGAAAACACAACTGGAAAAAAGAGACAATGCACCGTTTTTTTTGTAAACTAAGAAATCTTTAATCATTTGTTTGTTTATTTATTTATTTATTATTTAAAACACCAACAAGGAAAGGAGCAGGAAGGAGTTATCCAAGATGATTGTGGCCTTGGAGAGAAAGCAGATGGAGGGAGAGCTTTGAATCAACTAATTTGAGAATGCTGGTGGGAACTTCTTCACATCATGTTTACTCCGTTTCTGAAATTTGCAGGCAGCCGATGCTACAAGGACAAGTAGCCTGCAGGGCTGGGAAGCAGATTATACCAATTGTTGGAGGAGAACAACAGCATCTCTTACTATTACTCAACATAGCAATATAGAGCTTCCAGGAACAGAGGCACTCTACCTCTGAAGCCCACAGCTAGAGGAGAAGCAGCAGGAGTGGGCTACTGCTTGTGAGTTTGGACTAGATGGGCTTTTCCTCTGATCCAGCAAAGCCACTTCCGCCTACAAAGGAGGTGGAGTTGCGGGCGACTGAGGGAATCCCTGGCCGCGTCAGCCCCTGGACAGCCAATCGCTGGCTCAGGGAGCGTGACCAGCCCTATTTATTGCCGCCTACCTCGTAGCAAATCGTCACAACTTTCTGGGTATTGGCGGTTAGGCATTGGTATTGGTATTGTTCTGTAGATGGAAGAGGGGAGGAAGCGCCATCACCTGCCCCGCATATTGAAGGGTAGTCCGATAAAGGATTCTGGGGGGCGTGGCCCTGTCCGAAGCCTATGGAGGTGAGGGCCTAAGGCACGCCCCTGAGCGGTGACCTGGGGGGGGGGGTTCCGAGTTGATGTGCATCAGCAGGACTCCCCCTACTGGTGGTTAACCCTTCCCGGACCTCAAGCGGACGGGCTGAAGCTGGATAGTCGGTTAGGACCAATGCCTAAGCCAATACCGCTTATCACCTGTAACCAATAAAGTTGTGGCCATATTTAGCCCATTAACCTTAAATAATTGTGTCATGTGTCTTTATTTCCACTTTGGGGGGCGGGAACTCGCCACGCAATAGGGCTCTTTTTGTTTTTTTATGCACCCACAGACCCCAAACGGCTCTCCACAGGAACACAGTGGTGCATCTCATGTATGGGGGGGGTATTCCAACACTACCCCCACCCCCACCCCCAGCAAAGGAAAGATAAGGGAAGCATTTACAGCATTTAAAAGAGCCCTCAGCATAATGCTGATAGGACAGCAGCCCTGCCTGGAGAGCGAAGGGGGCTGCTAGGAAGGTCGTCAAAGCATCAAGGCATAGATGAGCCAAAGAATGCAATGAAAACTCTCTTAGAGCCAGAGTGACTGACAGGAAGACTGACAGAACGCCTGTCTGTTGCAGTTGATGGCTGAAGAGTTGAGAAACGGAGAAGGGGTAGAGAGGGGGGTGTATAGTGGCTAGAATTCTGGACTAGGAGGACCTGGGAGATCCGAGTGCAAATCCCCACTCAGTCATGAAGTGCACTGTTTGATGTTGGGTCCAGTCACTCTAATCCTAGCCTGCCTAACAGGTTTGTTGTGAGGGGGGAAATGGGGGGAAAGGCAAGCCATCAATGCCACCTTGAACTGCTTGGATGAAAAGTGGGCTATGAATGTAATAAAAAGCATCCCCAAATAATGATCATGGAAGGTACCCTGGGGATCATCTAGTCCAACCCCCTGCAATGCAGGAATATGCAGCTGTACCTTATGGGAATCGAACCTGCAACCTTGGTGCTATCTGCAGCTCCCTCTAACCAGCTGAGCTGCAATGAGATTTGAGGGAGAATGGGAACGCGGGTGGGAAGAGAAGGTAAGCTGTTCAGGAAGGGGTTAAATTCCATGGGGATGCTGGCCGTGTGGGGGACCCCAAGCCCTCGCCCTAGAAGATTAAAAAAAAGAAGCAGAAGAAATCCTACTTACAGATTCACAATGCTGACCATCTCTTCAGGTGAAATCCGCTCCTGTTTAAACTCAACTGCTTTAAAATGCTCGCACAACACTAACTCTGAACCTTGCCTCTAACCCTATTGCTACTCCTCTCTGTCTAAAATATACAGGAAAATATGTGCACAAAATATACAAATGAAAATGAAATGATAAAGTGAAAGCAAAGCAAAGTCTACACCTATCTCCCCTGTCTCCCCTGTTGGTCCCTCGCTTGCTTGCTTGCTTCTCCGTCCCAGTTCAGCCAACTCCTCCCAACTATCCCACAACGGGGATGTGTAGCTTCTGTCTTTTCTACAAGCAGCAAGAAATGTCACAAAGATGGGCAGGACACTGTTTCCTTGACAACCCATCCAGCTTGACCCTGAACTAATCTCCCCCCTCTTTCGTTGCCATGTTTTCTCCCTAACCTTGGGACACCTGCTGTTTGCAGCTTTACGAACCACTTTTTATCACAAACAGGTTCATACATTTTCTGGCAACGTTTCTCAAGAGAGGCCACCCAAGCAATTCACCACCCACAATTTGCGGACACCGCTATGCCATCATATTGGCATCAGGTGTTTCCAGGCCAGTGAATGTCAGCAACCCCTTCTTCTAAAGCTGCTTCCCCAGTTTCATCCAAAATAGAAAGAAATGCCATTTGGTAGCCCATTGAGAAGCTTTGGGAAGTAATGAAATACCTTTCTGAAAGTTATTTATGGATGCACAAGGTCACCACATCTTTGCTTAAGGTGAATGGAAAGGAACATTTCCCCAGGCGGCACACCACTGTCCCCGAATCTCGTCCGCTGCTTGGTCATTTCAACAGATTGTGTGTCTTAGTAAGATTTTGTACATTTCAGAAAGCTTTCCCTTGCCTTCAAATGAATTGCATGATTTTTCAAAAACTTATTAATGCCCCATGCTTTTACTTCTGGTGTGGTAAAAAATTGCAGAATCTGGCTATTGTTGTAAATAAAAATATGCCCTTTTCCCTTATGGGGTATCCAAGAGCCCATATAGAGTCGTTACATAGGTTCCCTATTGGTAGGAGAAAATAACAGAGGCCAACCAGAGAATATTGAGAAGCAAAGCAGCTAGTAAGCTTGAATTTTATTAATCTGTTGCAACAGGGTGCTCCCCTCACACGCAGGAGAGGAAGAGGACCCCCAAAAATGCTGTGCAATGGCTTATAAAGACTTTTGAAATTCCCATCCTCTAGATCAAGACCACCCCCAGAAACATTATGCATACATCACAGAAGGGGTGTAACCTAAGACCACCCCTCAGATACATCCCACCTACATCACAGAAATTTAAATGTTGTTTTTCTCCTGTCACAGTTTATCTCCTGTCTGGCAAGTTACTTGATTGGATTGCCTGGGAGCCTGGCCATTCTTTTATAGTGGTAAAATACTTATTTCCTGGGCCAGGTCACAGGCTCACACCTTATTCAAACAGACATATCCTTGAGACAGGATTTGTGAGGAAAGAGACAATGGGGAGGCTTTTCCATTTTTACCATGCAGAGAAACGTTTGCTCAGTTTAGGAATCAAAATGGTTCCAGGTTGGCTTTCCTGTGCTGATCTATGTACATGTGGTTATGAACGTTGCCATATATCTAATACCATAAAATTCCTATCACATTATCCCCCCTTTGGGGCTAGAATTTTTCTTAAAAATTTTTGCCCCACAAATAATAACATCATATGTTGTAAATGGATGCCTTTGTATAAATATATCATATAAAAATAACATATGTTGCATTTTGTTACTAAATTACTTGTGGCATTCTAGCTCTTGGGAGAAACATTTTCTCAATAGTGGCTATGCTTTACATTTAGCAGGAAGGTCCACTAATGACTGAAAAATGCAGTTGGTGTTTTGTCCTTCGCCATTTTTGTGTGTTTCTCAGGTGTCAAGCTAGCTCTTCTGTGGTCTCACACCGGCATAGTGCTACAGCAACACATCCTGTCTGTTGAATCCCTCGGGGCTTTCATTTAACCATGTCGCCTGGCATTCACCATAGCTGGCACAGGTTTGGGCATCTCATGAGAGAGATGTCTTTGCCTTGGCCTTTCTATGGGATTTTATTATAGGCTGTTGTCTTGCACTCATGGGAAGTTGCTCACTTGCACTTAAAGGACCAAAAAGCTAATTGCAGCCTGGATACACTTGCCCAATTCAAACTGAGTCCAATTTGAATTTATCTTGCCCCAATGTTTCTCAACTCTTCAAACCAATCTGTTAAAAGAAAACCATTCTTTAAAAGGGCACTTGTCCAAATAAGTCAATTTAAGTCTATAAGGGATCATTCCTGCTAAACCAAAGCATATTCACCTTCATGTATCTTAGAAGCTTCTCCTTGGTAAAGCGAGTTTTAGCACATTTTTTAAATGGGTAGGGAAGGTTGGCATAGTGCCAGGTGGGACAATCTAAACATTGGACTACGCAATAGCGCGAGCTATTAGAAAGTATAAAATGCATGAGAATTCTCCATTGGTGTGTAAGCAATAAGACATTAAACATAAAAACAATTACACACAAAAATACCCCCCCCCCTTTGTGGAAATAACACACTGTCACAGACACATTTCAACATTCCTACGTAATAACACATAATACAAAAAAAAACTAATTAAATATCAGTTGCATATCTTGAGACAATTGTGATATTCTCAATCCTGGAGCACAGTCTTAAAGTTCAAAAGTGAGAAAATGTCCTTGCAATTCAACTCCTCCCCCCTTTGTCAGCCCCACTCCCCCGCCAGTCTATATCCTTTGAAAGAGATAGCTGTGGGCACTTTGAAAACTTTGGTGTCTGTTGTTGCTGCAGGTGGTGGCGAAGCTTTTTCATCATAGGTCCGTAGTAACACATCTGTAGAAGTGACATCCTGTAAGGGGGCAGGGTTTTTTAGGGACTTAAAAGACAGAGTTAGAAAAGGAAGGGCAAAAGCCCCCCCAATCTCCTTGAGTTATCTTAGCACGTTAAGCATTTTACTCATTTTAATATTATTATCACATTTTCATATAATAACTGTTATTATCTGCTAAGTTTGTTTGCTTTCCTTCACTTAGTTTTTTGTTGTTGTTGTTTTTTCATATTATTAAATAAAAAATTACTCCACATGTATAGAAAGAAAACTGCAAAAAATACAACAAAGGTTAAAAAATAAAAAAGAAAGCAAAAAATTAGATTACCAGTCAGATGAAAACAGACTTGACACAAAGACATCAGATTTAGAAAAGAATTATTAAATAATACAAAGATATTATCAAAACCACACAGATTACTACTGGACTGAAAAAATGGGAAAACAATGGAAAAGGGCTTAAAATGACTTTCAATATGTGATGGACATGTCCCCAAAGTAAAACACACACACACACACACACACACACACACACACAGACACACAATGACCTATGAGGAACCAAAAATAATAATACTCAGGCAAAATACTCAGGCAAAAAGGTAAACAAATACCATTCCACAAACAATGTTTGGTTGTGCTTTGATTAATTTCATAGACATCATGGAAAAACTGATTAAATAAATGAAAACAGATTATTTGTAACTTAAAGTGTCAAAGCCACAAAGAGATGGAAGTCACTAATACAGTAGGGATTCAGACTTGTTTCACAGAACAGAAAGTAAGTTGCTGTGGGAGAAAAAAAGGGACAAACACTTTGCTAGTGGGGTTCACATATCCTGTTAAAAGGGAAAATTATTTCATGTGAGAAGTCAGTGGGAGTGCTTTGATATTTACCTGTGAAAAGAATTTGGCATGTTAAGATTTGAAACTTGGCAACCTCTTGACTTTTGATGGTCCAGCACTTAACCCTTTTATCTTAAGTAGCCCTTGGAGCAAAAGACACATTAAGGGTGATTTCCCTCAATGGTTCCAAGTTTTACATAAGGAAATTTTGATAGGTTTCTCCCTGCAGCACATGCTCTCCAAACCTCCTCTCCCCCCTTCTTTCCCCCCTCCTTCCTCTCTCTCTCTCCCTCTTTTTTTTTTTTTTTTAAGCTGATCTAGCCTCTGTGCATGTGCAGAGTTCATGTCTCAGCAAACCTTTTATACTATTGAAAATGTTGCATCTTTTGGCTAAATTAGAATTTGAATAAGGGAAGGGAAGGGTAAGGAGTAGATTTTAAAAATAGGGTTAGATTTTAAAACAAAAAGAGAAACTCAGCAATTTAAGTATTCACCAAAGCTAGCAATTGCAGCCCAAGCAAAGGGACTGCTTCCTTTATGTACAGGAAAGGGCTAATATCCCTCTGGCCATTCGCGGAACAATCTGCCACGCCCTTATATATGAGAAAAATGGCCAGAGAGTCAGAATTCATAAGATTTTTAACATTCTCAGTCATTTCAGCCTTACCATTTGCAGACAAAATTTTCCTGCCCTTTATTTACAGGATGGTCAAGGCTACTCAATTATATGTCAAGGCTCATTCTACTTGATTATATGAATTTGTATGTGCTTAAACTTTGAGTAGACTTTTAAGTCTGATTTTTGTAAATAATAGACAAAATGATAAACACTGTAATCACTTAAATGCCTGATATCACCAGTTCTGCTTCAAACATCACGGCTTTCACCTCTCACCTTTTAAAAACAAAGAGCAAATCTGGGCTGAATTTCAACTCATCAGCCACAAATTGGGAAAGTTGAAAGGGACCTGGGGTCATCTAGTCCAACCCTAAAATACAGGGTTCATAGCAAGATTTGTACTACCAGAAACACACACATACTTATGTACACAGACACAACTGGGGAAGAGACCACAAGCCATGCGCCTATCACAAACCATGCGCCTATCACAAACCATGCGCCTATCATGTACTAAGGAAGAGGAAAATAAAAGTACCCAACTTTATACAGAACCCTTTTAGCAGATCTTGAAGCTAGTTTGAGTGAGAGTTTACTTCCTTAGACTAAAGAGTGCAAGTTCCTAGAGAAATTATCTTTAAAGATTGAAGTGAACATTTTTCCTAAGATAGGGAGAGGATCTCTTATAAAGCATAGTTAAAACAGCCATAGATTTGATTTAAAAGGAATACAAAAGTGACAATTTTTCCTGAACTTGCAGAGGAATAGTAAGCCTAATCTATGCCCCCCCCCCTTTGCAGTTTCCTTTAAAGGAAGCTTACTCGGGAGTAAATTTACCTGGCACAGAAGTAAGAAGGAGAAGGGGAAAAAAACCTGAAAGAGACAGAATGAAACAAGGGGGGGCATTTTCTAAGAAAAGAGGCCAGGAAGTCTTATAGAGACTGATATCAGGAGCCTTACAATAACTCTTCTGTCCAACCAAATCAAAGTTAAAACTGGACTCAGATATTTTTCTTAGAAGGAAGACCATACTTTCATAGGCATATGCTTAATGAAGTACATACAAGGAGGAAGACTCTTTTGAGCCTCTCTCAAATAACAAACATTTGCACACTTCTTTCTCATTTTTGTCTTGTTTAAGATTGATAAGGCCCAACATGGCTTTCTTAGATTTAGAATTTGGAGCAAGCTTGCATTTTTATTTTAGATGGCACATTTAAGATAAGCAGCTGCTGGATGTGTTACCTAAGTACAATTTAAACACAGGAAAAACGTTTCTTAAACACAAATTAAAGGGGACTGTCAGAGTCCAGGCGGGAAGTAAGCGCCAATTGGGCTTCTTTCACGCCAGGGGTCTGAGGACTATTTTTCTTTTGATTGAGGTGCACCCATTTTCAATTTAAAAGGGGTTTGGACCTGGGCAAAACTCCGAAGGGTCCGGAAAAGGGGAAACCTGGACAAAACTCCGAGGGGGAAAAACCTGGGGATACCTGGACAAAACTCCGAGGGGAAAAACCTGGGGACACCTGGACAAAACTCTGAGGGGAAAAACCTGGGGATACCTGGGGATACCTGGTCAAAACTCCGAAGGGGAAACCTCTCTCACTCAATATCTGTTCTGGAACCCACAGCAACCTCCCTGCCTTTTACAATCTAACTCAGAGTCCCTACTGAACGCTTGCACACTTGCAATGCCAGATTGAGACTCTGGAATATGAAAGATGGAAAGGAATTCAGCGCCCTTGCGTTCTCTGTTCACAGGTCATTTCTAACAAAGATCGCCATGGCAGAGTGCGGCTGCGCTGGGAGTTATAGTTTTGGGAATTATAGTTTTCAGTGCAGAAGAAATTGCACGACCTTTCTGGTCAAAACTCCGAAGGAATAGGTCGGCATAAAGAATTAAGTGGAAGAAGTCACACACAACCCTTGCCTGGGCATACTCCGAAGGGCTAGGGCTGGTGTTGAGATCGAGGGGACAGAAAGGAGGAGAAGGCAAGAAATTGCACGACCTTTCTGGGCAAAACTCCGAAGGAATAGGTTGGCATAAAGAATTAAGTGGAAGAAGTCACACACAACCCTTGCCTGGGCATACTCCGAAGGGCTAGGGCTGGTGTTGAGATCGAGGGGACAGAAAGGAGGAGAAGGCAATTTTTAGATGGGGAAAAAAGTAGAAATTTTAGATTTGAAGGGAAAAGGAAGAATTAAAGAATTTTGGTTGCTGTGGTTTAGAGAACCCAACCCACTACTCGTGTTTCCTACTTAATACTCACTTCCGCATGCGCTGTTCCTGGTGATCCCACGATCTCTTGACTGGTTGTTTAAGGCCGGCCTGATCAAGTGTTGCTTCCTCTGGTTAGCCCCGCTGAACCTCCAGTTATTTCCAGACCCTGGGATCGATGGAAGACTGGCTATTCCTCCTGGCAAACTGCCTGGTGCGCGCTGGATAACCAGTCCTTCCTCGCTTCCAGAATCCGGGTAACCAAAAGTCCCTTCGTGGTCGCCATCTGTTGTAAATAAAAATATGCCCTTTTCCCTTATGGGGTATCCAAGAGCCCATATAGAGTCCTTACATAGGTTCCCTATTGGTAGGAGAAAATAACAGAGGCCAACCAGAGAATATTGAGAAGCAAAGCAGCTAGTAAGCTTGATTTTTATTAATCTGTTGCAACAGGGTGCTCCCCTCACACGCAGGAGAGGAAGAGGACCCCCCAAAAATGCTGTGCAATGGCTTATAAAGACTTTTGAAATTCCCATCCTCGAGATCAAGACCACCCCCAGAAACATTATGCATACATCACAGAAGGGGTGTAACCTAAGACCACCCCTCAGATACATCCCACCTACATCACAGAAATTTAAATGTTGTTTTCTCCTGTCACAGTTTATCTCCTGTCTGGCAAGTTACTTGATTGGATTGCCTGGGGAGCCTGGCCATTCTTTTGTAGTGGTAAAATACTTATTTCCTGGGCCAGGTCACAGGCTCACACCTTATTCAAACAGACATATCCTTGAGACAGGATTTGTGAGGAAAGAGACAATGGGGAGGCTTTTCCATTTTTACCATGCAGAGAAACGTTTGCTCAGTTTAGGAATCAAAATGGTTCCAGGTTGGCTTTCCTGTGCTGATCTATGTACATGTGGTTATGAACGTTGCCATATATCTAAAACCATAAAATTCCTATCACACTATCATTTAAAGCAGTGTAAGATGCTGGTTTACGTTTCCCCTCACATTTGGTGAGTAGGTAGGGATATGCAGTTTTGTGTTTTGTTTTTTGAAGAGTTCCTAAGGAGTCCTGCTGCTTCCGAGTTTTATTTTGGGGGTTGTTGTTGTTTTTGTTTACAAAAAGGTTGTAACCTTTTTCTAGGTACAATTCTGTACATTCTGGTACTACCTGTTCACTCATGGTCCCTCCAAATCCCTTTGTTTCTTTTAGCAATGTGTCCTTGTGTATCTGCATAAGCTTTTCAAAGCCTGCTACCTTTGCTTACAGAATTTCTCCTTGGTCTGACTCTGTGGAAGGCACCATGCTATTCCCCTTTAAATTAGCCATTTCGACAGAAAACATGAGAACTGGAATTTTGCTCTTGAATGGATTTTTGGATCGCCTGCATGCCAAGCACATACTTCTCCCACTGGGCCAGCACCCTTCCTCAGTGACTGAGCTCTCATTGCACACAGCCATCCAGCAAGCAAAAAAATGTTCTTGTTAGAAGGGCAGAGTGGGGAGCAAGAGATTCAGGGGCCGGTTTTAGACCCACAGTGCTCGGGTTTATTCTGTTGCCTGCTTGACATTGTGCCTCCTTCCCCCCTACCTTTTATTCCTATGAAAGTTTCACAATGTCACTGCTTGGGATTCTGGATAATCTATGGTGGTTTTTTTCAGTTTTTTAAATTAATTTTCCAAAAAATTTTTAAGACAAACAATCAAACATACATCCTAATTGTAATTAAACCAATCTTGATAACATTGTTAAGTGACTTCCTCAAATCCCCCTGGTTGAATTTCATTGTATTTCATTTTAACAGTTTTCCAAAATCAATCTTCTCCTAAAAAAAAAAAAATTAACTTGATCACTTCACATCTTTCATTCTTTCTAATCTAGCTTGAAACATCTTAATTCCTATCCTTACATATTTAAATCCTAAGCCTATCTCATATTTGCAAACTTTTCCAATTAGGTTATCTTGACATATTTAGCTAAATAATCTTTGAATTTTGTCCATTCTTCCTGGTACGCCTCCTCCTTCTGGTCGCGGACTCTTCCTGTCAGGTCGGCTAGCCCCAGGATGTGACTAGATGCTTGTAATGTATGCCAGGCAATCTGGCACAAGTGGGTAGGGTTGCCATCCGCCCGGAATTGCCGGGATTTGGCCGTTGGAAACAAGTGTCCATGCGGGAAACGCTTGAATGTCCAGGAAAATCCAAACGTATAGCAATTCTACACGTGGGGAGTAGGGACGCAAGTGCAAATCAGAATAAAGCAAAGGCTGGGAAAGTTCAAACAGAAACCCACCCACCCACACTATTCCTCAAGATTTGTGTTTAAGACACAGGATCATAGAATTGTGGAGTTGGAAGGGACACCGAGGACCATCTAGTTTCCTTATTCTCAATCAGGGGTCCGTGGCCCCATCCCTTGCCTCCCTCCAACTAATTTTCTCTCATTTTGGCATGGCAATAGCATACATTTTATGGGCGGTCTTGTTGTTTTTAGTATACCTAAAATCCTTTGCTTATTACCCCACATTTTGTTCAAAAATTGCTTTGCAGAGGTAACTACCATAGAGTTATCAAATTTTTCAAAAGTAGGGGTCTGCAGCTTGGCTTTTGAAAAATAAGGGGTCCTCAGTAATCAGCCAATTAGGAACCACTGATCTAGTTCCATCCCTACAATGCAGGAATAATGCAGTTGGCCTATACAGGGATCAAACTTATGACCTTGGCATTATCAGCACCCCGCTCTGAACATCTGCATCACCTTCAGAGTTGTTGTTGTGGGAGCTGTAGTTCACCAAAGTAAATATTGAAAGGATCCTCTTTTCACATCAAGGACAGACCATGCCAAACATCTACCTTATGCACAAAATTGACTCCCCAAGCTCTTCTTGTGTTTTAAGACGCTGGGATGTGGGGAGCTGGAAATTCCACTGGGCGGGCAGAAGCCCCTTTTGTGACTCAATAGAGCTCTGTCTTCAACCCCAATTTTAGTTTGGAAAACTCCTCCCTTTTCCTTTAACACACTCCCCTCCCTCCACTTTCCTTCATTCCACTCTTTTCCATATCGAAAGCAATTTCTAATGTCCACTGCCAGGACCAGCTGAGGATGTTTTTGCTTGAGGCAGAAACACCCTGAGCCCTGCCTCTGCTTCTCCTTTAGGAAAGGAGGCTGGAGAGGAGCAGGTTGTGTTGGCGAAACCCTCACAAGGGCCTGACCGTGGTCACAACAGTGGCATGGCTGCAAGCATGGTGCTTTAGGGACCTTGATCTGCCAAACCTTGAGCCAATGGCCTCGCAACGCCTCATGTGCAGGTTGGCCCTGCCAATTCCTAGGGTGCCCAGTTGGATTATTTCAGTGGGGAAGGGGGAAGTTCCCAATCCCGTTCCACTGCTCTCCGCCTCCTTCCCCTCAAAGTGATCCATCTAGCCTCCACTCCATCCCACTTCAAATGAAAATAAATAATAAAAGAGCTCCCATCCAGACTCTGCAGTCTCCATAGCTGCTCTCAGAGCTCCAGTCTCCTTTGGTCATTTTGGGGACTCCCTGAGAAGAACAAGTGGACATCTAGGAGTTGCTGTTGGTGGTGGTGGCGGGAGCAGGGCTCAGCTCCTCCTGCTCTTAAGTGTGCTCTGCTCAGTTCTGCAGCCTTATCCCTTGGCACCAGGTGCACATATGCTCTCATAACCCCCTCAAGCCAAGCCCAGTTCTTTTTCTTCCTCTGCTCTCCCTCCTACCACTGAGCCCTGGAGACAAAGCTTAATGGGGAGAGGGGAGGGCAGACCTCCCCTCAAGAGTCTATGCACAACTCCGCAGCCAGCGGCTGCTGGGCTGAAACTTGCAAGCTGCAAGCAGTATGAGGAAGGAGAGCAATTGAGAAACACCTTGGGGAAGCAATGTAGCCCTCTTTCTGCACCTGCAAGCCTTGTTGTGAAGAGCGAAGTCAGATTCCATGGTATCTGCACGACCTGATGCCCCATGCAGCACCCCCTCTCCACAGCCTCTCCCTCATGTGTGCTGCGAGGGCCCAAGGCGGCTACATTTGGAAAGTCTGGCTGAGCTTCAGAGCAGTGGAGAAACCAGCAAAGGCAAGTGTAGCTCCCCTCCAAACACCAGAACAATCTCTGCACAACGGATCTTTCATTTTGAAACAACCGTTTCCCAATAAATTAAGAGTGTGTGTGCACCAAGTACAGGAACCCAAGACAGAAAAGCAGAAAGACAGACTTCCGGGGTGGCGCCTCCGGAAAATGGCGGAATTCCCTTCGAACTGAAGGGAACCCGCTGCACGGAGGCTTGGGTCCTGCCGCTACGGCGCAGCGGGGACCCTTAAAAACCACAGGCGGAAGAAGCCTGTGGGCGTGGGACTCGGCGGGCACCGAGAGCGCTCTCTCCCTGGTACAGGAGCCCGGTAACGGGCTCCGGAGTGGAGGTGCGTGGTGCTGTGAGTCGTCTGCTTCCTCCGTGCAGCAAAGCCGCACTGCCGTTATCGGAGAGCGCTGCCTTTTTCCTGGACAATTTGGCATCTAAAACATCTATCCGTGAGTACCCGATCCTGGAAGAGCTGAACTACCTTTAAGATTGGGGAATAAATAAATAACATTGGACTTGAACCTGAAATTGAATTTAATTGGGACTCGGAACGGAAAGGTCTAAACAGGAAGTCGCCTTCCGTTCTTTTGTTACGTGAAGAAAGCAAAGACAAATTATACTAAAGCCTGGAAACTAAATTCTGAGAGAACTAAAATTCAACATCTAAGATTTCTGAACCCCCCCTTCGATTGCAGGAGAAGAAGGGGGTTGTTTTGATCTTTTCAACCCTGCGGGAGTGAGTTTAAAATAAAGTAATTTTCCACCGCCCTGAACCAGGAGCGGGCTGTCAGAACTGACGTTTTGAAGCTTATCCAGCTCGACAGATAGTTAAAAGAAGGGTAACATTTTGATTCTACTGTTGCCTCTTGAATTTGAAAGGGGGAATTTTGGATAAAGTGTTTCTGGAAAAAGAAAGATTGTTACTGTTGTTTTTCCCCCTCTCAAAAAAAAAAAAAAAAAAAAAAAGGGTTTTCCATCTAGTGGAACTGAGTGAAATTGCAATGCAGAGAGTTTAAAAGAGAAGGATCTTTCTCGTGGGAAAGAATTTCTTCTGACCTTGAAGGACAATGCTTGTACAAAGGCTTGAACAAGTGTTCCTGGAAGGTTTTGCAAAATTAAGTGCCCAGCTGGACCAGATGCGTCAGGAGTCGACCTTGATGAGGGACGGAAGTTACCAGAGCACAGCAGCAAACAAATGAAATTCAGTTAAAGTCTACACAAGTATATGAACCTGCTGTAGCGACGGAGGCTTCAGAGATGGAGGGACCTTTGGATGGGCAAGATCAGCCTTTGAACTTGATAAATGAACTTGGGACAAACCTGATTCGGAAAGATGAAATGTGGTCAGATTTGGAAATGGGGGGATGGATTGACACCCCTCTATATGGTTATTTGGACTTTCCGAGTCTAGTGATGGGCCATCAGAGGAATGGAGTAGTCGAAGTCTCCAAGTTTCGTGGAAATTGGAATTGGTATTATCTGCTGTCTGGCTTGGGCAATGGGTTTGGGATGGACTTGCTGCAAAGAGTCAAAAGCATCTTCTTGCTGGAGTATCCACGACTGAAAGGGAAATATCAACAAGAGTGGCGAAAGGGGCAAGAAAGAGACTTGAGGGCCTCGGATATGAGACAACCAGGTTAAGGAGCCGGATTATTGAGGTTAAAAGGACTGACAATCCGGGTCCAGGGGAGGAGGCTGGAAGTTGACTGGATTGAATCTGACTTATTGTTTTTGCTTTCTTATTTTCTAATATTGGGAATGTTTATAAATGTTTGAAGGATGTTGAATGAAATTATATGACTTAAGTAAGGATTGGTAAATGATTTGAAAAGGTAATGATGTAAGAATCTGCTAAATATTGAATATAAGCTTTGAGTTTTAAAGTTTTTATATGACAAGAGGGAAAATAGAATAAGGAAATGTAATGATAGATTGTTATGAAAAAATAGAAAGGATTTGCTGTAAAAATTAAATACTAAGAAACAAGAGACGGAAGGAGGAGGAAGTCTAGAAAGGAAGTTAATGGAGATCGTAAAGGATTTTATATTTCTGTTTATCTTTTTTTCTTTTTTCTTCTTTTTTGCGGCTGGGTTTTTTCTTCTTTACTATTTCTGTATTATTTTTGTTTTATTTGTATTTACAAATTATTTTTTTTTTGGAAATGTTTGTTGTTATTTGTTACTTTTTGAAAATTTAATAAATATCAATTTAAAAAAAAAAAAAAGAAAAGCAGAAAGACAAAGTTGCAGAACTTGGGGTCGGGTGGGGAGCCCAACCCAACCCAGCTGTACCCACTGCCTCAGCTCCCCTCCTGCTGCCCAGCCTGCGCCCCCCTCCTCCCTGGTCCCTTTAGGCAGTGCTTAGTGTTTCATGAAGAATGAACACCCTAGAGCTCTACTTGGCAGAATGGGGAGAGATAGCTGAACTATAGAGAGCAGGCTAAGGCGTAGGTGGGCCACAGTGGCTGCCCTGCCCCTTCTTGATGAGCATCAAGGCTGGGGGGACAGAGAAAGAGGTCCTGCAATCCCAGGACAGGCCAGGAATCCTTATGCCTGGTACCCACCAAGAGTAGCACATGCTCAGCTGCAGCAGAAGGGGAGAGCGTGGACTACTGCGCAGGGACTGAGAGCAGCAGTGGTGGTAGGAGGATGGGCAGGGGAATGACTGTCCTCCAACAGGGTCCCCCCCCCCAAGCACCCTGAACCTGCTGCCAATGCCCTGGAACCATGTGGAAAGCCAAGTGTGCAACCGTGTCAGGAGTCAAGAGGAAAAGGTGGAAAGGGCGAAGCACAGGGAAGGGAGCTGGCACATGGCAAGATGGCACAAGGGGAAGGGCAGGCACCAGAGAACAGAGGCTGGGCCTTGCCTCTTCCCTCCCCACTTCGTCTCCAGTCACGCTTGGCACCTTCGTAGTCATCCGCCCCCAGCAGGAAGCCCAGGAGGAAGCCGATGGCACTCGGCAGAAGGTTGGGCAGAGGCCGTAGCAGGAGGCTGGCGAAGAGGGTGGCTGCAGGGAAGCGAAAACATTTGCATGAGAGGAGGCGGGAGCAGGAGGAAGGCCAGCTCCCAGCCAGGACAGGCAGGCCTTACCTAGCATGTTGCCACTGACGTTGTTGCTCTCAGAGTATTTCAGCAGCTCCCGCAGGAAAGCCACCACGAAGCAGAACACGTTCTGGTGCGACCGCGGCAACTGGCAGATCACCGGCAAGACAGGGAGGGGCGGTTTGGAGTTTCAGTGCAGAGCTTTGCTAGAGGAGGGGCATGGATCACTAGCACGGTGTACTTGTTATGTTTGCAGGTTTAGACCTGGCATAAAAAAAAGAATGTTTAAAATGGTAACCGGACTAGAACTCTGCTGGGAACTTTGGGGAATAATACAACTGTAGAGTCGGAAGGGACCACGAGGGTTAACTAATCGAACCCCCTGCAATGCCTAAGGTGGGGCTCGAACTCAGGACACTGAGATGAAGAGTCTTATGCTCTACCAACTGAGATATCTTGGGGAAGGGCCATTCTGCTCTGCTTTTCATGCAGAAAGTCTCAGGCTCCACCCCCAGCATCTCCCAGGAGGGTAGGGAACATCCCTTGTCTGAAATCCTGGAGAGCCACTGCTTGTCAATTTCGACAATACTGAGCTAGATGGCCCAGTATATGGCCGCTTCCTGGGTTGGAAATTCAAGCGAGGTTCACTGAAACAGGTGGGCTATTTTTACAAGTCCTGGTCAGAAAGCAAAAAGGCAACATGTGCGCACCCCACCCCCCTCCACAACCGAGAGGGATGGTTATCAAAGGAGACATCAGCAACCTCTGCAGTTAACAAGGCTTCCCAGACCAGACTAGCCCTCCTGCTAGTGTGCCGGTTTACTGGCTTTCAGGGATGTTTTAGTGGATTTCCTGTTACTCGCGGCAACATTTGGACTAGATGACTTTGGAAATCCCTTCGGATTCTATGCTTCTGTACACACCACAGACCAGCCAGGAAGAGATGGGGCTCTGGGGCCAACCTGGTGACAGAGGTGGCTGTCATGTGAGCACTCAAGGCAGTGTGGATACAGTTCATAGCAAAGGACTGGTTCTGGCACTGCCTCCAGGAAGATGAGCAGAGCTTCGGCCACCGAGTGGTCACTGCCAGCTATTGACAGCCTGGCAAGGAAAGTGTTCTGTCTTGTTACCTGCAGCCTGCCTCCTTCCCAGGCTGGTCCAAAGCAAGAAGCTTGGTCCTTTTACATCTGGGCCCACCTTGCAAGTTCCCCCTTTTGGCGCAAGGTGGACCTTGAACCCGCAGCCCTGAGATTAAGAGTGTCACGCTCTACCAGCTGAGAAATCCCACTGTAATTATCCCACACCTCCCCTCTTGACGAAGCTGCCTGCAAAGCTGATCTGCCGAGGAAATGTCCTTCTGCAGGCATGGTTTCAATCCAAACAACAAATACTAGTGGTCAACTCCAAAAGTGCGATCAACAAACCCTGCTTGCCAAAGAACAACTGAACAATTGAATTCAAGCTCCTTTGCAGCCATGTCTTTACCTGTCTCCACACCTGACACCACGTATGATGCTAGATGTGGGGCCTGCGGGCCTGTCAAGGTTCCCCACCTCTGCTCTATCTAGCCAGGCTGATGTTTTCAAATGGGGGTTAAAGCTGTGAAGCTTTTGGATGCATGACTGGACTTTACTGTGGGCATTTCATTTTGCTGTGTCCCAGAGCCTTAAGGATGGGGTGGCCTAGGAACCTAAGCCACCAGGTATATAAAAGTGAGGTCCACTCCAGCCAAGAGCGAAATAAAACCACCAAGCAGCCCTGCTCCCCAACAATGCCCCCCAAAGAGGATACGGATCGTCTCGGGAATGCTGGTGTCCAGGCACTCAATTCTCTCCTGCAGCTCGTCCTGCGTCCCGGGGGTCTGGAAGAGGTCCTCCTGAAGCAGAGTATCACCCATGCGTTAGGAAGGGATGAGGTACATCCTGGATAGCATGAAGAACAATCCAGCCCTGGGGTGCATAATGTGAGGTCGAGGAATGCCACAATGGAGAGAAGCCCATCACCAAGAGAGCTGGCACAAGGGCTGAGAATTGTATCCCGCCTGCTTTCCACAGTAGCATTCCTACTACCCTTCTCATGATTTGGGGCAATGGGAGAGTGAAATCATTCCCCGCGTCTTCTAGTGGCGAGTGTCAGAGAGCCGCTTTGCTATGGACAGACAGACAATGGTTGTGAACACTTGGGTTCTTCTGAGCCGCTCTAAGGAATACCGTATGCTCTAAGGAATACCGAATTCCTCGCGGCGCTTTTAGCAGAAACGCTCAGAGTCCCAGGTTTTTCCAGTGCAGTCTTTTTAATGTGAGCTATATACAGGTATTTAAAAAAAAACAGTCCATACAGAGTACCTGCTCCTTAAGGCAAACGAATACTCTCCACCACAGCATCACCATACCACAGCACATCCACCACAACCACAGCACAACCACCACAACCACAACTACTGGTGAACAGGCTTTCCTTTTGAAACAGGTGATAGCCAATCACATTAATCACATTCCTGCTGAATCACTCTGACCCAGCACTTTGTCAGTGTTTGTAAAAAGCAAAAAAAAAGAAGGAAAGGGTTCTGACCTCCCTTTATCTCCTCAGTCCCCTTGTCAGCACAAAAAGAGTCCACGAGAATATCCTTGCAGAGTTTTATTCTTAAAAGTCCTTGTGCAAAACACGACTGAATAAGAATACACACCAGCACCAACCAACCCAAACACCAGCCTCAGCACCAAACTAACATTTCTCACTTTATATATACAACCTGCTGCAAGCCGCTGAGTCATGCTGACCCAGCTTTATTCGCATTAAAGAAACAGCGGCCATTTTAGCCGTGACACCCCTTCTGTTTCTTAAATGCGAAAAACCCCAACAGAAACGATACATACATACATTATATACATAAACCCAGTTTTGTCATTAATTCATTATGGCATGTTGCTGGCAAAGGCTTGGTAAACAAATCAGCAATATTATCTTGTGATTAACAATACTCCAGTTTGATCACCCCATTCTGTACACAATCTCTCACATTCGCATGACGGATAGCAATATGTTTTGATGCGGATTTCATTATTTCCGAGCCCGCTAATGCAATACACGATTGACTATCTTCATACACTTGGATAGGCAAATCTACTTTACAATCTAGATCTTTTAGTATCTGTATAAACCACAAGATTTCGTTGCATGCTAGCGATAGGCTCCCATATTCTGCCTCACAGGATGAGGTTGCAACAAATCCTTGTTTCTTTGACCTCCATCCAATTATGGCATTGGCAAACATCATAACCATGCCACTTGTAGATTTTCTAGTAGCTACACAGCTTCCCCAGTCCGCATCAACAAATACTTCTAGTTTTTCATCTTGTGTAATAGATATCTTTAAACATACATTTAATGTCCCCTTTAGATATCTGATAAGCCTTTTCAAAGCACACCAATCGGCAGTACTGGGTTTAGATACACGTTGGCTCAGAACATTTGTAGCACATGCAATGTCTGGCCTTGACCACTGGCTTAAATACAACAGTGATCCTATTTTTGAGTGATACAACTCAGGCTGATCAAATTCATCATCACACACTGTCTTTGGGAAATCTGGTGTCATGGGAGTCTGAACTGGCTTGCAGTTTTCCATGCCAAACTGCTCTATCAAATGAAGAATTTTCTCTTTCTGACTCAATAGGAAGCTTCCATTAGCTTCCTGTCTTACTTCTACTCCCAAGTAATTGCTTACAGGCCCTAAGGCTTTAAGCTTAAACCTCTTTTCCAGTTGACTTGTGAGCTTCTGGATCTCATCTGTGGAACTCCCTGCTACAAGCAAATCATCAACAAAGACTAAGAGCATTAGGTATTTGTTGCCTGTCCCCTTAGTGTACAGGCATGGATCAGCCACACTCCTTTTAAAACCAAGTTTTACAAGAGCTTCATTTAAACACTGGTTCCAACACCTTCCACTTTGAGACCGTAAACAGCTTTTTTCAAACGCCAGACTGCACCATTCTCCTCTTCAAACCCAGGGGGTTGTCTCATTAACACTTCATAGTCTAAATTTGCATGCAGATATGCAGCATCAACATCAAAATGGTGCACTGATAATTGTCTTACAGCAGCAATGGAAAGCATTAAACGAAAAGTTTCACTCTTTACAGAGGGAGAAAACACTTCATCATAACTCTCCCCTTTAATCTGAGTGAACCTCTGGCTACTAATCTGGCTCGAAAACGTGGTTCCCCAGATGCAAGGGTTTTCCATTTGTAAAACCACTTGCATGACACCACTCTGCCACTAGGTGGCGGAATTATGACCTCAAAGACTTGGTTACGTTTAAAAGAGTCAATTTCTTCTTTCATGGCTTGTTGCCACAAAGCACGTTCTCCAGGGGGTAAGTCTAAGACTTCATTATAACTTTGTGGTTCCACACAACTCACATTGCATACTCTCACTCCTCCTAGGGTCAAACGCTGAGGAGGTACACCCTTGTTTGAACGTTTGGAGCGCCTAGGCACAACTACTTCTTCTTCCCCCCTTATCTCTGGCTCTTCTTCCTCTTCCGCTAGAGAAGAAGTATTATCTATTGCCACATCTTTTGGGGAAATCTGTGCCTCCTCCTCATCCTGCTCCTGTGTTGCCAATGGCTGAGAAGAAGCCTCTTCTCTTACTTGCAGAGGCAGTAGGCAATCTGGGTTGGCGTGGATCGCAGTCCATCTGTCCTGGTCAGCAAAGTCTGCGCTTCGTGACAGAACCACGCGTCCTGGGTGTAAATTGAAACGCCACCCTTTCCCATAGGACTGATATCCCACAAAGCGCAGTTTCTGCGCTCTAGCGCCCCCTTTCTGGCGCTGAGCTTTGGGGATATTTACATGTGCCCAAGAACCCCAGTTCTGGAGCATTTTCCACTCTGGTTCTTTCCCAAACAACACACGATAAGGAATATCTTTTATAGAGCTTGACCAGGTTCTATTAATCAAAAAGTTCGCTGTCAGAAAAGCCTCGCCCCACAGTCTATGGTTGTGACCCAATCCTGCATCCACTAGCAGGCAGTCCTTTACTGACTGTATTACAGCCCCACGTCTTTCACACAGACCATTTTCAGCAGGGCTATAAGGGTTAGTCAAGCAATGAGTGATCCCCTTACGTCGCAACCATGCCCCAAATTGTTTGTTCAGAAATTCTCCGCCCCTATCTGTTTGCAACTGCACAACAGGGCGAGCGAAGAGCTTTTCAGCTTGGGCAACCCATTCTCTGAATGTGGGGAAACACTCAGATTTCTGCTTTAACAAAAACAACCAACTAAAACGTGATTTGTCATCTATTACCAGAAAAGCATATCTGGCGCCCCCTTCAGTCTTTTGTGGAAAAGGGCCTATCACGTCACAATGGACAAGTTCTAAAACCTCTTTAGATACTCTGTCACTTTTAGAAGCCACAGGCTTCCTCTTAGATTTGGCCATTTTACATACATTGCAATCTAGGAAACAGTTACAGCTATTTACTTTTAGGTTCTTGCACACCTTTTGCATCTCTGAAAGCACACGGAAATTGGCGTGACCCAGTTTTCTGTGCAGTTCATGTACACACCCCTTATGAACTGGCAAATTATCCTGAACCACCTGGGCTGCTTTAACAGGCTTGTCCTGCATTACATATAACCCATTTTCCAACTTTGCATGGCCACATACCTGAGTTCCATTCTTTATCAGACAACCATCCTGTGTGAACTTAACACTATACCCTGCATTAATCAAACAGCTTACAGACAGTAAATAATAGTCCAAACTGCTGACAAACAGAGTCTCTGGTAGAGTAGTGTTCAAACACTGCAGGAAACATGTTCCCTGGCCATCAATCTTGCTTCTACGACCATCAGCAAGATAGATTGAGTCTTTTCCATCGGCTGGCTTCTCCCGGGTCTTAAAGTCCTCCCGACTATTGCAGATAATCCTGCTGCTGCCAGAGTCCAGCAACCATGTTCCTCGAGGTATCTTTCTCTCCTCTCGAGAAAATGCAGACACAAACTGAGCAGAACGTGTGTTCTTCTTCCCTGAAGAGAACCCCTTCTGCTTACGGTTCTGCATTGATTGCTGTCTCTGCTCCATGTCGTCTCCTGGAAGTCTTGCCCTGCATTGACGTTGGAGATGCCCGGGTTGGTTGCATCTATAGCACCTCCTCACTGCCATTGCCAAGTCCAAACCTTGGCGTTGCTCCATTGGCAGATTCTGCTGCTGGCCCCCTCGACTGTAACTCCTCTGCTCTTGGAGTTCAGCCTGTCTATCTGACCTTCTTTCTGCTTCTTCGGTCAATCTTCCAACCACATACTCAAGGGTCAGATCTCGGGGACGCATACTCTCCATGCTGTTAATCAGAGGCAACCAGCTTTCAGGCAAACTTGAAAGGATAATGTAGGTTTGGTCAGTCTCATCATAACGCTTACCTCTCTGTTGTAGTTGAAGAAACAGAGATTTCAGCGTTTGAAGATGAGTTGCCAAACTCTCACCTTCTTTCATAACAGTCCTGAACAGCTTTCTGGTCAGAGAAATTATAGTTCCAGCAGTGACTGGCAGAATCCGAGACCAGAGAGAAGAGACGGTGAAAGAAGACTGGAAGAAATTTAAAGACTATTTACAGAAATATTGTAAAATTAAGGAATCTTAGAAGGATGTTGGATAGAAACTAAGGGGGGTTTTTTAGCTGTAATGCTTTAAGAGATATGAAAAAAGGTTTGCAACTGGGTAATTTCAATGGTAAGGATTTGCTGAATCAACAAATTGAACTGGAATACAAAAAAGGGAGGTATGAGGAGGTCCAGGGAAATAAGTATAAGGAAGATAGGTTATGGAAATTTAATGTCCTTTTAATTGTTTTATTTGGTATGTTTTCTTTTATTTTTTACTTCTTTGGTTATATTTTTTTTTTTAAAAAAAAAACTTCATTCTTTTTCTTTCTGTATTCTGTATTTTTTGTATTCTTTTTTTTTTGAAACTTTAATAAATATCATTTAAAATATATATATATATATATATATATATATATATATATATAGTTCCAGCAGTTTCTCTGACATGCATTGCCCTTAATAAATTCCAGCACTCAAACGCTGTGCTGGCATTTGCTACATGCAATAACTGAGAGTTGCTCAAACACAGCATAATTGGGGCACGGGCCCTTTCATCTAGCCGTTTTTTCTCAGCAGAGTCCCGTCTCAAAACCTCAGTTTCAACACAGTCCCATAGTCCATCTCTCCTTAACAACTGCTGCATTCTAATTGACCAACTCAGCCAGTTGCTCTCTGAGAGAAGTTCAAAAGGGATGCCTCCCCCAATATTTACAACTTGGGGAGACTGGAAATCTGCCATCTCTGCTGGTGCTTGCTGAGCCCCTTCTGTGGGGCCTTCAGCAATCTCTCCTGACTCTCTCTTTAGAGTCCGACTGGATGGTCCTGGCTGGCACTCACCGGCTTCTAGCTGCTGCCTCTGTTGACCCTCAGGTCCCGCCTGGCTCTGCAACTGGTGCAGCCGCTCTGTGAGTCGCCTACTGTGGTCCTCTAGCAGTTCAAACTGTTCCAGTAGCCGACGCTGAGTGCTTTCCTGATCCTCAGATCCTAGCCGCTCCAGCATCGTTGCAGACAGTTACAGCTTGCCACCAACTGCTCCAACGCACAGCCACTGGCTCCATACACCACCAGGACTCACCAGCTCCCTGCTGAGATGCTGTCAGTCGTTTTGCACTCTGCACATGCTCAGAAACACTGGACCCATAACCTGTCAGTGTTTGTAAAAAGCAAAAAAAAAGAAGGAAAGGGTTCTGACCTCCCTTTATCTCCTCAGTCTCCTTGTCGGCACAAAAAGAGTCCACGAGAATATCCTTGCAGAGTTTTATTCTTAAAAGTCCTTGTGCAAAACACGACTGAATAAGAATACACACCAGCACCAACCAACCCAAACACCAGCCTCAGCACCAAACTAACATTTCTCACTATATATATATATATATATATATAACCTGCTGCAAGCCGCTGATTCATGCTGACCCAGCTTTATTCGCATTAAAGAAACAGCGGCCATTTTAGCCGTGACACACTTCACAGAGTATTGCATCAGCCTGTTGAAGCCTGCAGACTTACTCATCATCCTGCGAATCCCAACACTCCTCCTTAAGTCAAAGGCTTGAGACCTAATAATTCTCTTAAGTCTCAAAATTTAGGAGCATCCAAACATTTTGTATACAAATCCGCCACATTACATATTGTGTTACAGTGCTGTACCTTTAACACATTTCTTTCCAAAGCATTTTTCACATTTCCGTATCTTATAGCTATATGTTTACTCTTGCGCTGTTGGTTAGCAAGCTGTTGTGCAGCCATGTTGTCACTTAGCACAGTGATTGGCATTTCAGAAGGTATTCCAAGTTCCTTTGTTAGACAAGCAAACCACTCTATTTGTGACACACATTCGCTTATGGCTGAGTACTTTGCTTCACAAGTACTTGTGGCAACAAATGTTTGTTTCTGGGATTTCCACTGAACCAGGGCATTTCCAATATATATGGCATAGCCAGTGGTAGACTTTCCATTTTATCTGTCCCCCCAGCTGGCATCAGCGTATGCATACACTTGCTGATCATATCCTGTATCCAGCACCAGTTTGTAATCTTTTGTGCCTTTCAGATACCTTAGGATTCTTTTAAGTGCTACCCAATCTCTCTGAGCCGGGTCTGCACTTCTTTGGCTTAACATGCACACTGCCAATGTTATGTCGGGTCTTGTCCAACAACTTAAATATAACAGAGAACCCAGCAGAGAATGAAATGCTGTTGCATTCTCACATTTTTGTCCTTCTGGTTCATTTTTGTACTGGGTAGTTATGGGAGTGTCAACCTCATTTGCCCTCTCCATTCCATATGTCTTCAGTAACCTTTCGATTTTTCCTTCTGACTCAGAGAGTAGACGCCCTCTTCATTTCTCTGAACCTCTACTCCTAAGTAATTCTGAATCTCTCCCAAATACTTCAGTTTGTATTTGTTACCTAGGCTGTTTATAAACCAAGACACTTGCTTTTGTGCAGTTGTTATTAGACAGATATCATCAACATACAAAAGTAAATAACAAACACTTCCTTGCACCATTGCTGAATATAAACAGGAATCAGCCAGGCTTTGTTTGAATCCCATCTTTTTCAAAGTTGTGTCTATGCATTCATGCCATAGACGAGCACTTTGGTGTAAACCGTATAGTGCCCTTTGCAGTTTTAACACCATGCTGTCTTTTTCCAGCTCATAACCTGGTATTTGCTGTAAATACACCTCGGCGTCAATAGGAGCATTTAAATATGCTGAGGCAACATCAAAATGATTAACTTTTAACCCTCTCAGACTTGCCATTGCTAAAACTGATTTTACTGTTTCAGCCTTTGCTGTTGGGGCAAACACTTCATCATAATGTATCATTTTCCTTTGTGTAAAGCCCCTTGCAACCAACCTGGCTTTCCTCTGACAACTACCATCAGCCAGCTTTTTCACTTTAAAAACCCACTTACAGCTTATGGGCTTTTTACCTTCAGGCAATTCTGCAGGTACAAACACATTGTTGTTTAGCAGAGAGTTATACTCTGCCTACATTGCCTTTAACCATGCCTCTTTCTCTAGAGTAGGTAACTCTTGCACTTCTTCAAAGTTTTCTGGCTCAGTTACACAAACCTGGTTTATGGTGGCTGGGAACCCATAACGGTCTGGAGGTTGACCTTTATTACTTCTTGCAGACCTCCTTGGTTCATGTTGGGTGTAGTGAAGGGTTAACCTTCTGTGTCTCAAGCCTGAGAGGAGGGGCGTACAGGGGAAGTAAGCCAGGACGTGACGAAAGCAGCTTGGAATGCTGTGAGCTGAGTGAGAAGTGAAAACAGTTTTGTTGCGTAGCTGCAAACAGAGAGAGAAAATGCAGCTTGATTCTGCTGGAAGTTATTGATTGTAAATATGCTACTTTTGAGCAAATAAAGTGATATTAGGACAGAAGAAACGTGTGGGACTTAATTACTGCTCTTTCAAACACACGGCCGCTGTGCAACTTTGCTATCTGCTAATTGCTTTACGACCGCTACAAAGCCACCCTGCGTAAACAGAAGCTACAGAGGCTCGCAGGGGAAGCATGGCTGGGCGCCGAACAATAAAGCAATAAATCTACCTAACAGTTCATTAATCTCACCCCCTGGGCTACCTTCAGGACTGCTTTTGGGGTGGATTGATTCTGGAGATTTACCTACTCCTGTCCCTGTTGCACTTTCTTTTCCCCCCTGCTCCATGCTAGCAGCTGGAGAAAAATGCTCAGTCTTTACCTCCTCCCTTTCAGTTTCTCTGGGAGAGCTGCCAATTCTTAGCTTTGTTTCAACTGCCTTATCAGGTACGCTCGGCAGTAAAACTTTTTCTGGCAGCAGGTTTGCATGTATCTTGGGCCAATTTCTTTGCTCATTAAAGCTGGCTGATCGACTATAACTCAAAAGATTTTTATCATCTTCAAACCTGTAGGCTTTCGTACCACTTTCATACCCAAGAAATAGCAACTGCTGTGCCCTTTTCCCACCTTTTCTTCGGTTCTTTACAGGTATGTCAACCCACGCCTTTGTCCCAAAGATTCTCAAATGTTGCAAACTGGGACTTTTGTTATAGAGAATTTTATAGGGTATGTCATCTAGTACCCTTGACCACAAGCGATTCCCAATATAATTCGCGGTCTTAGTACTCTCAGCCCAGTACTTAATTGGAAGATTTGCATCTGCTAACAATGCTTTCATTTGTGTCTGCAAGACACCTCCCCTACGCTTTGCTACTCCGTTCTCCTGAGGCGTTGCCACATTGGTAAGTCTATGTTTAATCCCTTGGGAACGCAACCAGTTTCTTAGGGAGCTTACCATAAACTCTCCTCCCCTGTCTGTCTGAATAGAGCACACCTTTTGGCCAAGTTGCCTTTCTACCCTTCTTACCCAGAACTTCAAAGTTTGGGCAACGTCAGACTTTTGCTTTAATGGATAGACCCAGCCAAATCTAGAATAGTCATCCACTAGGATCAAACAGTACTTGTTATGGGAGACACTTGGTGGAAAAGGACCAGTTACATCAGCATGAATCAACTCCAGTGGTTTTTTTGGTTTCTCTCTGGCTTGCTCTTGCTACTGGGCAAGCCCTGCTTTTAACCTCCTTGCAGATATTGCAGTCTAAGTAATTATCACAACTTTTAATGTTTTTCATCCCCCACACAACTCCAATGTTTTGTTCAGCACCTTAAAGCTAGCATGAGCCAGACGCCTGTGCAGGAGATGAATACACATATCATGGGTTGGGACATTTTGCACATTCGCAACCTTAGACTCACACTGCAGTACATACATATTAGTTCTAAGGTTAGCATTTGCCAACACTGCCCCATTTTGCTTTATCTGGCACTGATCTCCCACAAAGTTTACTTCAAAGCCTGCTTTTGCCAAGTCTGGAATACTCAGGAGATTGTTTTGCAAACTAGGCACACACAACACATTCCTGAATGTGTGTCCCAGCTGTGGGAACACAACCTCCCCCTCACAAACTACATTAGCTTTCTGGCCCGTAGCAAGACTTACATGTTTTTTGTTTGAAGCCCTAGCATCAGTTAGCAGTCCTTTTCTTTTACAAAAGGTTTGAGAAGCTCCACTGTCCAGAACCCACAGCTCTTCATTTTCTTGACCATCTGCAGACACCCAAGCGGTAGACTCTCTCTGCTGCCTCCTGTGCTTCTGCTGTTTTTGTTGTTTTCTTGGGCAGTCCCGCAGCAGATGTCCACTGGACTTGCAGCAAAAACACCTTTTTACTTTGTTGACCACCGGCTGGTCTGCAGCAGCTCCTCCTGGCTGTTTCTCCGGCTCCCGACACCTCTGCTCTTCCCGGCTGTTGTTCCCTCTGGGATGCTCCAACAGCTGGGCTGAGGTCATCTTTCGCTCTGCACGCCTGTCCTCCTCTGCATACAACCGTCCAGTAACGTATTCCAGAGTCAGCTTATCAGTCTCTACAGACTCGAGGGAATTGACCAGCATATCATAGCTGTCATCAAGGGAACTCAGGACTATAAAGACTTTGTCCTCTTCCCCCACAGGCCTCCCTCTTAAGGTTAGCTCCTGGAAACAGCCTGTTAGGAATTTTAGGTGGTTTACCAGGGAGTCCCCCGGTTTCGTCTGACACCGGTACAGTCTCCTGGTCAGTGTTATCAGTGAGCCAGCTGTCTCTCGCACATGGACAGCCTTGAGCGCATTCCACGCCTCACTTGCCGTCACCTTATCAGCTACGTAGACTAGCTGGCTGTCGTCCACTCCAAGAATGATCGTAGCCAAAGCTTTCTCATCCTTTTCTAGCTGGGCCTCTGCTAGTGCCAGCTTTTCATCGTCGTCCTCATCCTCCTCAGGGGGCTGTGGTGGAGTTTCCACCACCTTCCACAGGCCCTCACGCTTGAGGAAGTGTTGCATGCGGACTGACCAGGTGCTGTAGTTCGTGGCCGTCAGCTTCTCCAGCAACACGCCAGTTCTGGACTGTTCCATCCCTGCAGCTCACCTCCAGCACCCACGGCTAGATAACTGCCACCTGTACTCTGGCGCAGCGGAAGCGTGCTGGGCCCATAACCCTGTCGCGAATTCCTCGCGGCGCTTTTAGCAGAAACACTCAGAGTCCCAGGTTTTTCCTGTGCAGTCTTTTTAATGTGAATATACAGGTATTTACAAAAACAGTCCATACAGAGTACCTGCTCCTTAAGGCAAACAAATACTCTCCACCCCAGCATCACCATACCACAGCACAACCACCACAACCACAGCACAACCACCACAACCACAACTACTGTTTAACAGGCTTTCCTTTTGAAACAGGTGATAGCCAATCACATTAATCACATTCCTGCTGAGTCACTCTGACCCAGCACTTCACAGAGTATTGCATCAGCCTGTTTGAGCCTGCAGACTTACTCATCATCCTGCGAATCCCAACAGAGAGCTGGCACAAAGGCTGAGAATTGTATCCCGCCTGCTTTCCACAGTAGCATTCCTACTACCCTTCTCATGATTTGGGGCAATGGGAGAGTGAAATCATTCCCCGCTTCTTCTAGTGGTGAGTGTCAGAGAGCCGCTTTGCTAGGGAGAGACAGACAATGGTTGTGAACACTTGGGTTCTTCTGAGCCGCTCTAAGGAATACCGTATGCTGGATGTCCCACCCGCTGCCGCTCCACCAAGGTGCCACTATACTCACAGCAGGAGTTTGTAAGAGCGAGTCGGTAGCTAAGATATAAATCAATTGTGGCATTTGGAACCTGCACACCCCAAAACTGGTACTGGATTCCAGCCAACACCCATCCTTTCAATGGTACAGTCCCCCTCAGCTCACCTGGTGGCAGGCATTCTTGAAGAGGTGGTCCACCAAAAGCCAGATCTCCTTGGCCGCTCAGTGGAGTCATCACCATCCTGGGGTACGATATCCAGAAACTGCTTCTCCTGGAGGTCCAATGACAAGCGGGACTGGCATGAGAGCCTGACAGAATGTGTGCCTGTATGCATTCTTTCCTTGCTCCAGCTGGGTGGACAAGTCTTGCCCTCTGAGGCCACAACTAGGGCTGGGCGATAGCTGGCTTTCAACACGGTGATATATCACTAGCTAAAGATTGCAATACACCAATATATCACGATGTCTGAAATAAGATGGAGCTATGTAGAGGCATTGGCTGGCTTCACGGTTTTCCCCGCATTGTGATTTTTGCTGCCCAATGCAGGAAGGAAGGGGAAAGCTGAACCGGCAGAGTCCACAGGGGCTGCAGGAATCTAGAGAAGCATTGTCTGGCTTCACAGTTTCCCCCCACATGGTGTTTTTGGCATAGTACACACACACATCATGATTCGCAATATATTGCCAGGTCAGAAATTATGAAACCAGTCTCACTATCTAGACTTCAAGCTGATTTGAAAATATATCTATATTGACGTATCGCCCGGCCCTAGCCACAGCAAGCATCTCAAGTGGGGAAACAAAAAACAAATTGCTTGCACCCCAAATCCAAGCTCCCCCTCCCCCTTTTAATGTGCAGCTAGTAATCCTCCCACTCCGGATGTGCAGTTCACCCCAAAGCTTACTGAATATGCAGCTGTGGACATGAGGTTTGGCTAACATTTTATTTAAATTGCTGGAACCTGCCCTGGGACCTTAGGGTGACGGGCAGGAAATAAGTAACAAAAACAGCAACAGAACATGGATGGGCCTTCATAGGTTGATGGGCTGCAGCCCCAGCCAGCATGATGAGATGATGGGGTCACATGTTCACCACCCCTTGTCTAGAGCACGTTGCAGAGGCAGTGGTAGAAACTGAGCAACAGCTGGAGCCCCAGCCCACGACTTTGTATGGGCAATGCAGCATACAGCAGCTGGTGAACAATGCCTCCGGCCTCCTTCCCATCTTCCTCTCCAGAAATGTTCAGGGTGGTTAGTTCTATCTCAAGCTACCACATTCAAGAGAAAGAGAAAGAGAGGAGGGGGGAGCAAGAGAGCTTTAGGAGCACAGCAGTGGCAAGCAGCCCATCACTAAAAGGAGCTGGCAAGGATGGAGAATTTGATCCCCTCATCCCCAGGGCAGCTGTTGATTAGGACCCAGTTCATCCCCCCTCCCCCTCCGCCAATACTCCCCGCCCCTGCAGAGAGAGAGAGAGAGAGAGAGACAGAGAGAGAGAGAGAGAGTATTGGTGTGGGGAATGACACATGCTGTATCAGAGTCTTAGTGCAAGAGTAGCTGGTGCATGCTAAAGAACACAGGAGCCTTGCTGGGTTAGATCAGCATTTTGTTCCCACAATGGCCAACCACATGCCCTTGGGAGTCCATAGGGACACGGGGACAAGAGCACTCTGTCCATCATGTTCCCCAGAAACTGGTAATCAAAAGCATGTGGTTTGTGATAATAGTGGCAAGAAATAGCCCTGACCCGTAGCTACTGATAAACATATCCTCCATGGTTCTAAATGTCTACAGCTGTCCAAATTGACAGTCACCACTGTCTCCTTGTGGCTAGGATAATACACCCAAGTAGATCTGATTTCGAGAGGAGTGACATTTCCCTGAGCCACCCCAAAGCAGCCACTACTGCTTCCCAAATGCCAGTGCTCAGGTGGTAAGAGTAAGCCAGAGTGGCATAGTCTGTGCAGCAGTTGCTGAGCACAGAGACAAGGAGAAAACTGGCTCTTGGGGCCAGAGGGGGCTGGCGCCTGCATCATAAAACTGGGCTTTCTGCCTCCCGTGCTGCCAATCGCAAGCGGACCCAAAGTCAAGCAGCGCAAAATCAGTGACAAGCAGTGATGGCAAATTCTGGTTTCGTCTCCGTTCTCCTCTGCCGGGTTCTACAAGGGCCACGTTGAGACTAGGGAAGAGACCAAAGCAGAGAGCTAGAGCCACCACCTGGACTGGATTTGAGTCAGAAGGCAGGCAGGTGCGGGTTGCCTGAGAGGAAAGTCAGGTTGGTGGGGTAGTGCCTGGTTTGCCCTAAGGGACCAGCTGCCACTGCATGGAGCAGCTGCTGATCGTTGACAAGGGCAACTCCATTTACGTGCCTTCGAGGCACATGCACACTGCCGCAAAGCTGGAAGGGGCACTTGAAGGGGCAAAAATGTCCCCCCCAAGAGCACAAAGCGGCAAAGCGGCATGGAAACAGCATCTCGACTCCCTCCCAGGAGCTTTGGCACCGACCTTTCAGGCCTGTGGAGAGTTGGAGCACGGAGTTGTGCAGGAGGCTGGCAAGTGCTGCTGGTTTTCAAAAGGCCTTTCAAAAGGGTTTCCGGAAGTTTAGAGGGTGTTTGCAGGCTTTTCCAATGCTGTCCCCAATATACGCAATTTCATTTAAACGCACGGTACCTCGGAACGCAACGCCCCGTTTACACGGGGGTTGCCTGTACCTGATTTGAGCCCGCTACAAGAACATCTAGAGGATAGCAAACCAACTGTTACCTTTTCTAGGAAGCTGTCTTCTCCCTGAGATCAGAGGAGGAAGGCAAGAGCAAAAGACAACCAAGGGTGTTAATGGCACAGGCCCTGAGAAGAGAAAGAAACAGCCCGTTGGCTGAACAGTATCTGGGCAGATGGCAGGGAAATGCACACGGTTCAGTGGCCCTGCGAAAGGGCAGGTGGGAGGACCAGAACCTGGGATGACTCAGTCAAGGCAAACAAAGGGCATGAACAGCACACAGGAAGCGGATGCACAGCTACAGAAGGTGACGCTGAATGCAGCGGAGGACCCCCAGCCCCCACATTGCTGAGTGGAAGAGCAGCTGTTTTTCAAGCAGGCAAGCAGAGTGGGAAGGGTAGACATTCAGCACATGAACCTGCCAGGTAAATCAACCCCTTTCCCTACCAGGTCCATAAGTCTGGTGACGGGAACTTCGCCAATCGGCTGCCTCATCCAGCACAAGGCTTCCAAGGAGGTCCCGAAGCAGCTTGGTAGGTAGCTCCCACTGATGGTGAGGAAATAGTCCTTGCCACGGTCAAGGTGAAGGACAAAGATAGCCTCAATCTTCTCTTCCTTGCTGACGTACACATCCAGGGAAATGTCCACGTCTCACCTAAAACGGGAGGAGGTCAGGTAGATACACTCTTTGGCACAGCCAAGTTGGCTTGTCTGTAAATTAAAAGTGAAGACAGTGAAGAATTGAACAGAAGGACACAATAGGAGCCTGCTGGATCAGGCCAATGGCCCATCTAGTACAGCCTCCTGTTCTCACAGGTGTATGGGGGAAACCTTAACTTCAAGAATTAGGAAAAGAAGCGACTCAGTTCCCACCCCCACCCCACTTTCCTCTCTAGTCCTCCAAAGCAGCAGCTGCACAGAAGATGGTGACAGGATACTGGGGGGTGAGAGAAAGTGATCCTAACAAAAGAATATAAAAAGGGAAAGCATTTATTTGTCTCCTAAAGGATTTTTGCGCCCCAATGTAACTTTCTTTTTTAGTTTACATTTCATTGAGTTTTTAAAAGTTTGGCTAGTTCTATATGTTCCCCAAGATATTTTTGTGCCTCCACAACATAAAAATACGCATATTTTTTTTTAAAAAGTAATTTTTGGACAGACTGCTCTCACTGGTTCCCTGCGATGTCAAAAGGTTTTTTGAGACCCTCCAGCATTGTTTTGCTTCGATTCATTTGTGTGTGTGTGTTTAAAGCTGGTCACACACACTTTTACACTTTGGGCTCAGCTGCTTTGACGTGTGGCCCTTGGAGGCTTGAGCATGGGGCAATGCAGCCCACAAATGTTAAGCCTCCCCTGCTCTACCAAACTCCCAAGGTTTGAGGGAGGAGGGTTGGGAAGAGGAGGAGAAAAGGGGGGATGAAAAGGAAACCAAGGCCTTCCCTAGATGACCCTTGGGGTCCCTTTCCAACTCTACAGTTCTCTGATTCCAGAGAGAGACTCGCTGGGCTCCAAGTATCCCTTGCAGGGCTCAGCGCGAAGCCATGGCTTACAATACTGGCTGTCACTGAGCTTGGGGATAAAGGAGAAGTGGAGGGTGACCTGCCCGTTGTTTGTGATCTGGAACTTCTCCTTCTGCAGCTGCCGGAACTTCACATTCTCAAACGGAAACTGCAGAGCAAAAAGGGGGAGAAAGAGAGTGCTTGCCTTCAGCAGAGGCAAGGAAACGTGCTCCGGGGGAAGTTTGTCCTTGGCCCCGGGCTCTCATTTAGGGGACTGCACATGCAACAGGTCCACGTGGGGCTCTCCAGATATTGCTGCACTTGCCACTGGCCATGTTGGCTGGGGATGATGGGAGTTGTAGTCCAGCATCTGGAGGGCACCACGCTGGCTACCCCTCGAGTCTTTGCCTGCGAGGAAGAGGAAGAGGCTGCCGCTCAGTGGAAGGGCATCTGCCTTGCATGCAAAGGTCCCAGGTTCTATCCCCAGCATCTCCAGGTAGGGCTGGGAGAGATCCCCCGGAAATCCGGGGAACCGCTCAAGACTGAGCTAGATGGGCCAAGGGCTTCTTCCCCCCCTGGTCTTTTTGCAGCAAACCCTCTTTAAGGGGTTGGAGAGGATCCTATTCGTCTTTACCTCCCTCCAGGGAGGGAAGGAATTCGTTCTCCATCCTGTCCATCAACTGAACAATATCCTCAAACACTTTCCGGTACCGTCGGTCAGCCACAACCTTCACCTATGGGGGGGGGGAACAGAGCACATTTGTTGGGGCTATGGACTGAAAGGGGGGGCATGAGTTAAGAGCAGAAATGCCTGATGCACCCCCCTGTTCCCAGCCCTGAAAGAGGCAAGTACTGTAACTCTGAGAGCTTCCCCAGGATGGCAGCGGCTGTGACTTCCAGACCCAATGGGCTCCAAGCCAAGTACCACAGAAGCTCCATTGCATGAATGGAGCCAGCGGTTAAGGTATACAGTTCAGCCCATGTGGTCTGCCATGCCTGCAGGAGCAGCGTGTACTCAGAACAGTGGAGAATGGAAGCCTAGGGATTTAACAGAGCCAAAACCTGCCCACTCCTTGCACCGGAAGTCATTGGCCAAGGAGGAGCTCTGTGGAAAGGGGCCTGGTTGTTGGTCAGGGCCTGCCCAGATTCGAGGAGGTGCCACATAGCAGGCAACTAAAAACCCTGAATAGACGATAGCCCTGGCCAGGGCAGGTGTTACCCCTGTGAGGAAGAGGGAGCTGACGGGCTTGTGGTCGCTCCTTTTCAATTCCATGTGGCTTCGGTAGCTGAGCTGATTCACGCTGCCTCCTCTCCAGAGGATTGGCTCACACCATGCTGGCATATGGCACTTCCCACTGCAAGGAGACAGGAGAGACACCAGGACTGTTGGACTGGCTGAGGCAACACACAAGGCTCACACAGTCAAACTTTGGCTCCACACACGGCCTGTGATCTTGACCACGGTCAAGAGCTGGAGATGATGGGGCTTGGGAGTCCAACTTCTGAAGGGGCGGACCTTGCAGGTGTGCAGGCATTTTGCCTCATGGAGAGAGTTGTCAGGAAATCAAAAGCTGCCTTCTACCAGGTCAGAATGAATTTCTGACCTACCCCAGTTTTGATTCCTACATTGCAGGGGGTTGGACTAGATGACCCTTGTGATCCCTTCCAACCCCACAATTAATTAATTAAGTCTACTCTGGCTGGCAGCAGCTCTCTGTGGCCCAATCCTTTTTCAGGTGGAGGTGCCTTTCAACTTGAGACTCTGCATACAAAGCATATGGCACACCACCAAATGATGATCCTTCCCCAAAGCAAGGGCCCCGTTATTCTTGTTCAGACACTATTTCTTCAGTGATCCAAAGACCCTTTCTGGCACCTGAAATGCTGCCCAAAGGAGCCTGCCGTTTTCCGGCTTCGTCACTACATGTTCCGCCTGTCCTTTTGATTTCCCCATACCACAGCAAGAGCAATGAAACTAGCAGGCCTAGGTGGCTTCTGACAGTTGTCAAGAACCACAAGAATATGCCAAATCCTGGATGGTGAGGCTCAATGGCTACTAGCCATAATGGCCACCGCACATACTCCACCAAGAGAAGCAGTATGGCTTGGAGGAGGGGAGCGTGCTGTTGCACTCAGGTCCTGTTTGTGGGCTCCCCAAGAGGCATCTCATTGGCCAATGTGAGAACAGGATGCTGGGCCAGATGGACCAATGGCCTGATCCAGCAGGGCTGCTCTCATGCTCTTATGCCCTGGCAGACTCATCTTGAGAGAGCACCAAGTCTAATTCCCAGACTTCCTTGACACAAACAGGATTCTCCGCTTATACACGCCATGAAACAGAGGATGCTGGTTATCAGGACAAATGTGGGGGAAAGGCTGCTTGTGGAAAAGGAGCCAAAACATTTCCAGAGCAGGGATGGCTTGAGGAAGACAACATATCACAGCCTTGCATTAAACAACTCGCCTAGCAGCCTTTGGCAACCAGGAATTCCATGCAAGCAAAGTGAGCAGGTGAAGGAGAGCTGGATCTCTCTCTTCCTCCATGGCTTGGTGTCCATTCTGGCTGCAGAGGAAAGGAAGTCCATCCAGCCCTCAACTCTAGCCCTCCTCCAACAGCTTGCTTAGCAGAAAGCCATTTTTAAAATATATGTTTTACTAGCCTGCTCAGGAGGACGGAAAGGCAGGACACTACTAGCGTCTCAGCAGACTAGGATAAACAAACAAGCCTTGCAGAAGAATGATTGAGAGGACTTACTTACAAAGGCTCAACTATCAAGCAGGCGCTTACCTGGAGTCCCAGCGATCTGTTTTAGAGTCGAATTTGTACATCGGGATGAACTTGATCTCTCCCTCTGTGAAATCAGCAAAAGCTGTCTTTTGGGTACGCTGAATGTTTAGCTAAAGCCAAAAAGAAATCGCTGTCAGTGTTTGTAAAAAGCAAAAAAAAGAAGGAAAGGGTTCTGACCTCCCTTTGTCTCTTCAGCCTGGTCCTCGGACCCTTGTCTGCATAAAAGAGTCCACGAGAATATCCTTGCAGAGTTTTATTCTTAAAAGTCTTTGTGCAAAACACGACTGAAGAACTATACACACCAGCACTAACTAACTAACTAACTAACTAACTAACCAACCAACCAACCAACCAACCAACCAACCAGCCAACCCAAACACCAGCCTCAGCACAAACTAACATTTCTCACTTTATATATACAACCTGCTGCAGGCCGCTGAGTCATGCTGACCCAGCTTTATTCGCATTAAAGAAACAGTGGCCATTTTAGCCATGACACCCCTTCTGTTTCTTAAATACGCAAAAAACCACAACAGAAACAATACATACATACATTATATACATAAACCCAGTTTTGTCATCAATTCATTATGACATGTTGCTGGCAAAGGCTTGGTAAACAAATCAGCAATATTATCTTGTGACTGACAATACTCCAGTTTGATTACCCCATTCTGTACACAATCTTTAACATTCGCATGACGGATAGCAATATGTTTTGATGCGGATTTCATTATTTCCGAGCCCGCTAATGCAATGCACGATTGGCTATCTTCATACACTTGGATAGGCAAATCCACTTTACAATCTAGATCTTTTAGTATCTGTATAAACCACATGATTTCATTGCATGCTAGTGACAGGCTCCCATATTCTGCCTCACAGGATGAGGTCGCAACAAATCCTTGTTTCTTTGACCTCCATCCAATTATGAAATGACTGGCAGAATCCGAGACCAGGGAGAAGAGTCGATGGAAGAAGATTGGAAAAAGTTTAAAGACTATTTACAGAAGTATTGCAAAATTAATGAATGTTAGAATGGTGTTGGATAGAAACTAAGTGGTCTTTAGCCGAAATGTTACTAGGGAACATGAAAAAATGGTTTATTAATATGTAAAAATCTAAAATTACAATATTTTATGATTAATGATTAGGATATATAAAGAGGGGAGGGATTTGCTGAACTAATAATTGAAGTGGAATACAAAAAAGGGAGGTGTGAGGAGGTCCTGGAAATAAGCAAATGAAGGCTAAGTAACGGAAGGAATGAATTGTTTTTAACTATTTTTACTTTGTATTTTCTCTTTTTCTTTTTATGTCTTGTAATATTCTGAAAATCTTAATAAATATCTTATTAAAAAAAAACAATTATGGAATTGGCAAACATCATAACCATTCCACTTGTAGATTTTCTAGTAGCTACACAGCTTCCCCAGTCCGCATCAACAAATACTTCTAGTTTTTCGTCTTGTGTACTAGATATCTTCAAACATACATTTAATGTCCCCTTTAGATATCTGATAAGCCTTTTCAAAGCACACCAATCAGCAGTACTGGGTTTAGATACACGTTGACTCAGAACATTTGTAGCGCATGCAATGTCTGGCCTTGACCACTGGCTTAAATACAACAGTGATCCTATTTTTGAGTGATACAACTCAGGCTGATCAAATTAATCATCACACACTGTCTTTGGGAAATCTGGTGTCACGGGAGTCTGTTTTTTTTTTGTTATTTTTAAAAAGATATTTATTAGAGTTTAAGAATTACAAAAAAAAAGAAAAGCAAGCAGTGAACAGTTACAAAACCTCAAAAACAAAAGAAAATACAATAAAACAAAACAACAACAGTACATCAAAACATTAAAAAAGAAAAAACAGAAACATTTAAAAAACACAAACCTTTAAAAAAATAGAAGAAGAAAAAAACAAAAAAAACCCCGTATTTTCATGTCCTTATCTTTCATTTGCTTATTTCCTCGACTTCCTCACACCTCCTTTTTTTGTATTCTAGTTCAATTAATTATTCCAGCAAATCCTTTCCCTCTTTCTCAAATTTAGTTCCATAATTTATCTTAACGCAATTTAACCTTAAGTTTTGCACCTTTACCCATTGTCAATCTATTCATACTTAATTCTTTATAACATTTCTGCTAAAGTCATATAACTTCTTTCCAGCATCATTCTAACATTCATTAATTTTACAATATTTCTGTAGATAGTCTTTGAATTTCTTCCAATCTTCTTCCACCGACTCTTCTCCCTGGTCTTGGATTCTGCCAGTCATTTCTGCCAACTCCATGTAGTCCATCAGCTTCATCTGCCATTCTTCCCGGGTAGGTAGATCTTGTGTCTTCCAGTACTTTGCAATGAGAATTCTTGCTGCTGTCGTAGCATACATTAAAAAAATTCTATCCTTCTTTGGCCGACCATGCCCAGGAGAAAGGTCTCTGGTTTCTTCAAGAAGGTATATTTAAATACCTTTTTCATTTCATTATAGATCGTTTCCCAGAAAGCCTTAATCTTTGGGCATGTCCACCAAAGGTGAAAGAAAGTACCTTCAGTCTCCTTACATTTCCAACATTTATTATCAGGCAAATGATAGATTTTTGCAAGCTTGACTGGTGTTATGTACCACCTATGAATCATTTTCATTAAGTTCTCTTTTAAGGCATTACATGCCGTAAACTTCATACCTGTGGTCCATAACTGTTCCCAGTCAGCCATCATAATGTTATGTCCCACATCTTGTGCCCATTTAATCAAAGCAGATTTCACTGTTTCATCTTGAGTATTCCATTTCAACAGCAAGTTATACATTCTTGACAAGTTCTTAACTTTAGAGTCTAACAATTCTGTTTCCAATTTTGATTTTTCCACTTGGAAGCCTATTTATTATCCCCCGTATATACCTCCATTATTTGATAATAATGGAGCCAATCTCGCACTTTATTTTTTAGTTTTTCAAAACTCTGCAATTTTAATCTGTCTCCCTCTTGTTCCAAAATTTCACAATACTTGGCCATTTGTCCTCCATATTGAGTTTTTCTGAGCCTTTGCTTCCATTGGTGACAGCCATCTTGGGGTTTTGCTTTCTAGCAAATCCTTATATCTTACCCAAACATTAAACAGTGCTTTTCTAACAATATGGTTTTTAAACGCTGTATGTGCTTTAACTTTGTCATACCACAAATATGCATGCCAACCAAATACATTATTGAAACCTTCCAAATCCAACACATCCGTATTTTCAAGAAGCATCCATTCTCTCAGCCAACAAAATGCGGCTGATTCATAATAAAGTTTAAGGTCTGGCAGGGCAAATCCACCTCTTTCTTTAACATCTGTTAATATTTTAAATTTTATACGAGGCTTCTTGCCCTGCCAGACAAATCTAGAGATATCTCTCTGCCACTTCTTGAAACAGTCCATCTTGTCCAAAATTTGCAATGTTTGAAACAAAAATAATATTCTTGGCAATACATTCATTTTAATCACAGCAATTTGACCTAGCAATGATAGCTTCAAATTTGACCATATTTCTAAACCCTTTTTCACTTCAGTCCAACATTTTTCATAGTTATCCTTAAATAAATTCACATTCTTAGCAGTCATATTTACCCCTAAATATTTCACTTTCTTAACCAATGTCAATCCTGTCTCCTTCTGGAACTTGTCTCTCTCAATCTCATTTAGATTTTTCTCTAAAACTTTAGTTTTCGTCTTATTCAACTTAAAACCTGCTACCTGACCAAATTCTTGAATCAATTCTAATACTCTTTTAGTGCTTGATTCTGGCTCCTGTAAAGTCAATACCAAATCATCGGCAAATGCTTTCAACTTATACTGTTTGGTTCCCACTTGGATACCTTTTACCAATTGGTCCCTTCTAATCATATTTAATAAAACCTCCAGGACCGATATAAAAAGCAATGGAGAGATTGGGCAACCTTGTCGTGTTCCTTTCTCAATCTTAAATTCTTCCGTCACTACATTATTCACAATTAATTTAGCCTTTTGTTCTGAGTAGATTGCACCTATACCGTTTCCAACACCTTTACCAACCCCCATCCCCAATAGATTCTTCTTCATAAAACTCCAGGAAATATTGTCAAAGGCTTTCTCCGCGTCCACAAAAATCAGAACTGCTTTAGTATTAATCTTCACTTGTAACTTTTCTAAAATGTTAATTATATTCCTCGTATTATCAGACAAATGTCTGCCCGGGAGAAAACCCGCTTGGTCTTTATGAATTTCTTCTGCTAACACCTTTTTTAATCTTTTAGCCAAAATGTCTGCAAAAATTTTATAATCCACGTTAAGCAGTGATATGGGACGGTAGTTCTTAAGTTGCGTCTTTTCAGACTCTGATTTTGGTATAAGTGTAATATATGCTTCCTTCCACGACTCGGGTGCCCTTTTCCCTTCCAATATTTCATTACAGACTTCCTTTAATGGTTATATTAACCATTCTTTCAAAGTTCTGTAATATCTAGAAGTCAGTCCATCCGGTCCTGGAGATTTACCCAATTGCATATTCTGAATGGCCCCTTCTACTTCCTGATCCGTTATTTTGTAATCCAGCATTAATTTATTTTCTTGATAAATTTTTGTAGTCCATTTATTTTCAAAAATTTATCAATGTCCATTTCATTCTGCTTTTCCTGTGTATATAGTTGTTTGAAATACCTCTGAAAACACTTTCTAATTTCCACTGGATTCTGTATATTCTTTCCTTCCACTTCCAAATTCGTAATAGTATTTAATTTTTGTCTTTTTTTCAACTGCCAAGCCAACAATTTCCCACACTTATTTGCCAATTCAAATGTCTTTTGTCTCATCTGTTTAATCTTCCATTCTATTTCTGATTCATCATTTTCATATATTGTACTTGATATAACTTTATTTCTTTCAAAATCTCCTGAGACGTTGGTTTCGCCCTCAGTTTCTTCTCTCCTTCCTTTATTTTTTCCAAAATTTTATCTTTTTTCTCATTTTGCATTCTCTTCTTAATTGTGTTCTGTTGTATCAAAAATCCTCTCATGGCGGCTTTACTTGCATCCCAGATTACTCTTTTTTCCACTGTAGTGTTCATGTTTATCTCAAAGTAATCTCTCAAAGTTTTTTGGGCCTTTTTAGTAAATTCATCATTCCTGAACAAAGAGTCATTCATCCTCCATCTAAAGGAACCAGTTGGCATTAATTTCATTTCCATCTTCACAGCATTATGATCAGAGCTGGTCTTGGGGCAAATTTCAACTTTGCTAATCTTTGGAGCCAGTCCTCTAGTTACCCAGATTTGGTCAATTCTTGTCCATGTCATTTTAGCCTCAGAGAAGAAAGTTCCCTCTCTTCCCAGAGGGTTCTTCATTCTCCAAATGTCAATTAAGTCCATATTTTCAGTCATGTCAAAAAATGTTTTTGGTAGTCTTCCATCCTTGGTAATTATTTGTCTTTGCGCCTTATCCATGTTTGTGGATACAACACCATTCATATCTCCCATCAGAATCATATTATAGTCCAAATAGTCCATCAAGATTTCATGTAGCTTTTTAAAGAATTCTGATTTCCCTTCATTTGGTTTCATAGATACCTATTATCAAAAATTTATCTCCTTGTGTTTGGATTTCAATTGCTACAAATCTTCCTTGTTCATCTTTAAAGATAAATTTAGGTGATAGGCTCTCCTTTGCATAAAGAACCACTCCTCTTTTTTTAACTTTATCCGATGAGATAAATTCTTGGCCTAATTTTTTATTACTCAATAATTTCCTGTGTAGCCTTGTCACATGCGTTTCTTGTAGACAAATCAAGTCCAATTGCTCTTTTTTCAATAAATGAAACACTCTTCGCCTTTTTTCCGAACTGTTGAGGCCACTAACATTCCAACTCAAGGCCTGCAGCGCCATCCTGTGGCTACTTTGGTGCTCCCCCAACTGCCCCCAGAGCTTGCTCCTCTTCTGTTGGTGGTAACGCTGGTTCGTTAACAGGGGAGTCCAGTCCAAAAGACAATGCTGAAATGTCCAGGGTACCCTTTCTTGGTGATGCTCTCTCCCGTACTCTTTGCTCCAATCCTCTGTCTGGTGATCCTCTTTCCGGTATTATTGGCTCTTTTCCAATTCCCTTCTGTGGGTCTTCTTCGTGGTTATACAGGAACTTTGTTTTATCTTCTACTGATCTTATCTTTATTTTCCTTCCTTTAAAACTAAAGGATAAGCCTTGAGGAAATTCCCACCGAAAGTTGATTTTGTTCCTTCTCAACAGTTCAACCAGATCTCTGAAGTTAAATCTCAAATCTAAAAAATATTTAGGATATCTTTAAATATCTCCACTCTAAATTGGTGTATTGCCAAGGCCTCCTCGTAATGCCAACTCAAGATTTTATCCCTCTCTTCTTTGGATCGGAGTGTAATCAAACAGTCTCTTATTCTGTTCTTCTCCTTCTTCCCTCCTCTTCCAAGTCTAAAGGCTCTCACAATTTTAAACTCCTCTTTTTGCAGATCCCGGTTCCAATAGGCTGCAAATTCCTCTGTAAGATAGTCTAGTTCAGGTACTCCCTGAATTCTCAAATTTGTCTGTTTCTCCTTGAGCTCAAACATAGAAAACATCAACTTCTGGTCTTGTACTTGTTTCTGCACATCTGGGACCTCTGTTTCCAGTTGTGCTACCTTCGTTTCAACAGTAACAATCTTTTCCTTAACTTCCTCTGCAGTCTGTCTAGTTGAGTTAGACTCCTTAACTAATGCCTCTATAGCTTCTGTATTAGAATTAACCTTTTGTTCCAAGCTTTTTATGCTTTGTGTATTTTGGTCCAATTTTTGTGAGTTTTGGTCCAATTTTTTTATTCATTTGTTCCAAGGAATTGTTAATTTTACTCAAAACAAGTGCCCAATCTTCTTCCGAAAGCATTCCTCCTTTGGTTTAGTATACATTGACGCAGCTGCAGAGGAAGCAGGAGGGCCAGATGTAGAAGCTCTCCGAAAAGACTTCCCAGACCTTGTTGTCTTTTCTTGTAAAGAAGGATCTCTTTTTTCTTTCCCATCTGCCATAACACTCAAGGCCCTCAAGGTCAGGTACAGTCCCAGAGTTTTATCTTTAAGACTGGAAAATTCCACGGCTTGTAGCAGTTTCAAAGTCCTCCTCTAGAGGGAAATAGTTATTGTTTATCTTGTATTAGTCCAAAGTATTCTTTTTCTTTTCTTTTTTTTTGAATTGCAATAGCAAGTTGCGCCAATATAATTAGTATCAAGCCTTAACTTTAGTTCAGAAAGAAATAGTTGAAACTTTTAAACCAGGAGAAAATAGCTGAAACAATGTTTCACTCACTGACAGTCAAATAGTCTATTCACAGTCAATGCGGAGCTCCGTAGTGCAGCGATTTTTTTAAAAAAATGATATTTATTAAAGTTTCAAAGAAAAGATTACATAGATAAAAAGAAAAAACAAAAAGAAATAAAAAAGAAAAAATACAAAATACAAAATACAGGAAAAAGATAAAAAAACACTTAAAAAAAAAACACATCGATCTTTCCATAACTTACATTTCATTTCCTTACTTCCCTGACCTCCTCACACCTCCCTTTTTTGTATTCCAGTTCTATTAGTTAATTCAGCAATTCCTTTCCCTCTTTGTTCTTGTCTTAATCCTTTAACTTAATATATTATAACTTTGGATTCTCATCTGTTAACAATCCATTTTTACATACACCTTAACATTGCTGCTAAGACCACTTAATTTCTTTCTGACATCATTCTAACATTCATTAATTTTGCAGTATTTCTGTAAATAGTCTTTAAATTTCTTCCAATCTTCTTCCACCGACTCTTCTCCCTGGTCTCGGATTCTGCCAGTCATTTCCGCCAGTTCCACGTAGTGCAGCGATTTTAATGGCTGCCGTTCCCAGGTTCCGAGTGGTGAAAAGTTTGTTGGCTTGGCAAATGAAAAAAAGACAAAAATTAATTACAGTTACAAATTTAGAAGTGGAAGGAAGGAATATACGGAACCCAGCTGAGATTAGAAATTGTTTCCAGAGGTACTTTAAACAACTATATACACAAGGGCCACTGAAAGAAACTGATCTAGATCGATTTTTGAAAACAAATGGATTACAAAAAATCTCTCAAGAAAGTAAATTAATGTTGAACTATAAAATAACTGAACAAGAGATAGAAGGTGCCATTCAAAATATGCAGTTGGGTAAATCTCCAGGACCGGATGGACTGACTTCTAGATATTACAGATCCTTGAAAGAATGGCTAGTACAACCTTTGAAAGAGGTCTGTAATGAAATAATGGAGGGGAAAAGGGCACCAGAGTCGTGGAAAGAAGCATATATTACACTTGTACCGAAAACAGAGACTGAAAAGACACAGCTTAAGAACTACCGCCCCATATCATTACTTAATGTGGATTACAAAATTTTTGCAGACATTTTGGCCAAGAGATTGAAAAAAGTGTTGATGGAAGAGATTCATAAAGACCAAGCGGGCTTTCTCCCAGGAAGACACTTATCTGACAATTTGAGGAATATAATTGATATTTTGGAAAAACTAGAAGTGAACATAAATACTAAAGCAGTTTTGATATTTGTAGACGCGGATAAAGCTTTTGACAACATTTCTTGGAGTTTTATGAAGAAGAACCTACAGGGTATGGGGGTAGGCCAAGGCTTTGAAAACGGTATAAGTGCAATTTATTCCGAACAAAAGGCTAAATTAATTGTAAATAATGTGATGATGGAAGAATTTAAGATAGAAAAAGGGACACGACAAGGCTGCCCAATTTCCCCATTGCTTTTTATTTCGGTCCTGGAGGTTTTGCTGAACATGATTAGAAGGGACCAGTTGGTTAAAGGTATACAGGTTGGAGCCAAACAGTACAAATTGAGAGCATTTGCAGATGACTTAGTACTGACGTTACAAGAGCCAGACTCTAGTACCAAAAGGGTTTTAGAATTGATCCAAGAATTTGGTCAAGTTGCAGGGTTTAAATTGAATAAGTTAAAAACTAAGGTTTTAGAGAAAAATTTAACACCAATATAGAGAGAGACGTTTCAGAATGTGACAGGTTTAACAGTGGTTAAGAAAGTTAAATACCTGGGGATTAACATGACAGCAAAAAATGGGAATTTATTTAAAGATAACTATGAAAAATGTTGGGCTGAAGTGAAAAAAGATTTAGAAATCTGGTCAAATTTGAAGCTTTCACTGCTGGGCCGTATTGCTGCGGTAAAAATGAATGTATTGCCTAGAATGTTGTTTTTGTTTCAAACATTGCAAATTGTGGACAAAATGGACTGTTTCAAGAGGTGGCAGAGAGATATTTCTAGATTTGTCTGGCAGGGCAAGAAGCCCAGAATAAAATTTAAAATACTAACAGGTGCAAAGGAAAGAGGTGGATTTGCCCTGCCAGACCTTAAACTTTATTATGAATCAGCAGCTTTTTGCTGGTTGACAGAATGGCTGCTTCTTGAAAACACTGACATTTTGGATCTAGAAGGTTTTAACAATGTATTTGGATGGCATGCATATCTGTGGTATGATAAGGTCAATGCACACAAAGCATTTAAAAATCATATTGTCAGGAAAGCATTGTTTAATGTTTGGATAAGATATAAGGACTTATTGGAAAATAAAACCCCAAGGTGGCTGTCACCGATGGAAGCGAAAGCTCTGAAAAAGCTCAATATGGAGGTCAAATGGCCGAAATATTGGGAAATTTTAGAACAAGATGGAGATAGATTGAAACTGCAGCGTTTTGAAAAACTAATACATAAAGTGCGAGACTGGCTTCATTATTATCAGATAATGGAGGCATACAATATGGACAAGAAAATTGGCTTCCAGGTGGAAAAATCAAAATTAGAAACAGAACTGTTAGAACCCAAAACTAAGAATTTGTCAAGAATGTATAACTTGCTGCTGAAATGGAATACCCAGGATGAAACAGTGAAATCTGCTATGATTAAATGGGCACAGGATGTTGGACATAATATTATGTTTGCAGACTGGGAACAGTTATGGACCACAGGTATGAAGTTTACGGCATGTAATGCCCTAAGAGAGAATATTATGAAAATGATATACAGGTGGTACATAACCCCAGTCAAGCTTGCAAAAATTTATCATTTGCCCGATAATAAATGTTGGAAATGTAAAGAAACTGAAGGTACATTCTTTCACCTTTGGTGGACGTGCCCAAGGATTAAGGTTTTCTGGGAGATGATTTATAATGAATTTAAAAAGGTATTTAAATATACCTTTCTGAAGAAACCAGAGGCCTTCCTCCTGGGCATAGTCGACCAATCGGTGTTAAAGAAGGACAGAACTTTCTTTATGTATGCTACAACAGCAGCAAGAATACTTATTGCAGAGCATTGGAAGACACAAGATCTACCCACACTGGAGGAATGGCAGATGAAAATGATGGACTATATGGAATTGGCGGAAATGACTGGCAGAATCCGAGACCAGGGAGAAGAGTCAGTGGAAGAAGATTGGAAGAATTTTAAAGACTATCTACAGAAATATTGTAAAATTAATGAATGTTAGAATGATGTTGGATTGAAGTTAAGTGGTTTCTAGCTGTAATGGTATAAAAGAATATGGAAAAATTGGTTTTTAATATCTAAAAATTTAATGTTATAATATATCAGGATTAAAGATCAGGATTAAAAAGGAGGGAAAGGAATTGCTGGATTAATAAATTGAACTGGAATACAAAAGAGGAGGTATGAGGAGGTCTGGGAAACAAGTAAATGTAAAAGAAGTGATGAAAAGATGGAATTGTTTTTAATTGGTTTTTCTTTTTTGTATTTTGTATTTTGTATTTTTTCTTTTTACTGTTAATTTTCTTTTTAATGTAATCTTTTCCTTTTGAAATTTTAATAAATATCATTTTAAAAAAAAGAAATGAAAAGTTAACTTTTCCCTCTTTTTCTGCAGGCAAATAATGTCCAAGAATCCTCCCCCTTTTCCCCTGCTTCCAAGGGGGGGTTCGCTATTTTTATACTGGAAATTTAAACATTAAACACAGTCTTTCAGGCTTTAGTTTAAACCTCTTTGCTTCCAACTATTTACAAAAAGAGGAAGGCGGACTTCCTGTTTTACACCTCCCCCGTTCGTAGCCTAATTCAGCTTTTAAAGTTCCAATTTCTTCACTTTACTCACAGGTAATTACTTTAAATCCGAATGTCCACAGGAAAAAGTCAGCGCTCTCCGGCAATGGCTGTGCGGCTTCACTCCGTGAAAGTAGCAGTCAGTTCGCAGCACCGCGCCGCTCACCCCACTTCGCGCCGGAGCCCCTAAATGGGATTCCCCACGAGTAGGGGAGGCACTCATGGTGCCCTGCCGAACCCCCACGTTCCCAGGCTTCCTCCACCTGGGATTTCTAGCGGGTCCCCACCTTCGCCGCGGTGGGCGACCCAGTTTTCACGGAGCCGGTTCCTCCGCTTAGAGAAACTCCGCCATTCGCCGCTGGCGCTAACCCGGAAGTGTCACGGGAGTCTGAACTGGCTTGCAGTTTTCCATGCCAAACTGCTCTATCAAATGAAGAATTTTCTCTTTCTGGCTTAATAGAAAGCTTCCATCAGCTTCCTGCCTTACTTCTACTCCCAAGTAATTGCTTACAGGCCCTAAGGCTTTAAGCTTAAACCTTTTTCCCAGTTGACTTGTGAGCTTCTGGATCTCATCTGTGGAACTCCCTGCTACAAGCAAATCATCAACAAAGACTAAGAGCATTAGATATTTGTTGCCTGTCCCCTTGGTGTACAGGCATGGATCAGCCACACTCCTTTTAAAACCAATTTTTACAAGGGCTTCATTTAAACACTGGTTCCAACACCTTCCACTTTGTTTGAGACCATAAACAGCTTTTTTCAAACGCCAGACTGCACCATTCCCCTCTTCAAACCCAGGGGGTTGTCTCATTAACACTTCATGGTCTAAATTTGCATGCAGATATGCAGCATCAACATCAAAATGGTGCACTGCTAGTTGTCTTACAGCAGCAATGGAAAGCATTAAACGAAAAGTTTCACTCTTTACAGTGGGAGAAAACACTTCATCATAACTCTCCCCTTTAATCTGAGTGAACCCTCTGGCTACTAATCTGGCTCGAAAACGTGGTTCCCCAGATGCAAGGGTTTTTCTTTTGTAAACCCACTTGCATGACACCACTCTGCCACTAGGTGGCGGCATTATAAACTCAAACACTTTGTTACGTTTAAAAGAGTCAATTTCTTCTTTCATGGCTTGTTGCCACAAAGCACGTTCTCCAGGGGGTAAGTCTAAGACTTCATTATAACTTTGTGGTTCCACACAACTCACATTGCATACTCTCACTCCTCCTAGGGTCAAACGCTGAGGAGGTACACCCTTGTTTAAACGCTGGGAGCGCCTAGGCACAACTACTTCTTCTCTCCCCCCCCCTTATCTCTGGCTCTTCTTCCTCTTCCTCTAGAGAAGTATTATCTATTGCCACATCCTTTGGGGAAATCTGTGCCTCCTCCTCATCCTGCTCCTGTGTTGCCAATGGCGTAGAAGAAGCCTCTTCTCTTACCTGCAGGGGCAGTAGGCAATCTGGGTTGGCATGGATCGCAGTCCATCTGTCCTGGTCAGCAAAGTCTGCACTTCATGACAGAACCATGCGTCCTGGGCGTAAATTGAAACGCCACCCTTTCCCATAGGACTGATATCCCACAAAGCACAGTTTCTGCGCTCTAGCGCCCCCTTTCTGGCGCTGAGCTTTGGGGATATTTACATGTGCCCAAGAACCCCAGTTATGGAGCATTGTCCACTCTGGTTCTTTCCCAAACAACACACGATAAGGAATATCTTTTATAGAGCTAGACCAGGTTCTATTAATCAAAAAGTTCGCTGTCAGAAAAGCCTCGCCCCACAGCCTATGGTTGTGACCCAATCCTGCATCCACTAGCAGGCAGTCCTTTACTGACTGTATTACAGCCCCACGTCTTTCACACAGACCATTTTCAGCAGGGCTATAAGGGTTAGTCAAACGATGAGTGATCCCCTTACATCGCAACCATGCCCCAAATTGTTTGTTCAGAAATTCTCCGCCCCTATCTGTTTGCAGCTGCACAACAGTGCGAGCGAAGAGCTTTTCAGCTTGGGCAACCCATTCTCTGAATGTGGAGAAACACTCAGATTTCTGCTTTAACAAAAACAGCCAACTAAAACGTGATTTATCATCTATTACCAGAAAAGCATATCTGGCGCCCCCTTCAGTCTTCTGTGGAAAAGGGCCTATCACGTCACAATGGACAAGTTCTAAAACCTCTTTAGATACTCTGTCACTTTTAGAAGCCACAGGCTTCCTCTTAGATTTGGCCATTTTACATACATTGCAATCTAGGAAACAGTTACAGCTATTTACTTTTAGGTTCTTGCACACCTTTGCATCTCTGAAAGCACATGGAAATTGGCGTGACCCAGTTTTCTGTGCAGTTCATGTACACACCCCTTATGAACTGGCAAATTATCCTGAACCACCTGGGCTGCTTTAACAGGCTTGTCCTGCATTACATATAACCCATTTTCCAACTTTGCATGGCCACATACCTGAGTTCCACTCTTTATCAGACAGCCATCCTGTGTGAAGTTAACACTATACCCTACATTAATCAAACAGCTTACAGACAGCAAACAATAGTCCAAACTGCTGACAAACAGGGTCTCTGGTAGAGTAGTGTTCAAGCACTGCAGGAAACATGTTCCCTGGCCATCAATCTTGCTTCTACGACCATCAGCAAGATAGATTGAGTCTTTTCCATCGGCTGGCTTCTCCAGGGTCTTAAAGTCCTCCCGACTATTGCAGATAATCCTGCTGCTCCCAGAGTCCAGCAACCATGTTCCTCGAGGTATCTTTCTCTCCTCTCGAGAAAATGCAGACACAAACTGAGCAGAACGCGTGTTCTTCTTCCCTGAAGAGAACCCCTTCTGCTTACGTTTCTGCGTCAATTGCTGTCTCTGCTCCACGTCGTCTCCTGGAAGTCTTGCCCTGCATTGACATTGGAGATGCCCGGGTTGGTTGCATCTATAGCACCTCCTCACCACCATGGCCAAGTCCAAACCTTGGCGTTGCTCCATTGGCAGATTCTGCTGCTGGCCGCCTCGGCTGTAACTCCTCCATTCTTGGGGTTCAGCCTGTCTATCTGACCTTCTTTCTGCTTCTTCAGTCAATCTTCCAACCACATACTCAAGGGTCAGATCTCGGGGAGGCATACTCTCCATGCTGTTAATCACAGGCAACCAGCTTTCAGGCAAACTTGAAAGGATAATGTAGGTTTGGTCAGTCTCATCATAATGCTTACCTCTCTGCTGTAGTTGAAGAAACAGAGATTTCAGCGTTTGAAGATGAGTTGCCAAACTCTCACCTTCTTTCATAACAGTCCTGAACAGCCTTCTGGTCAGAGAAATTATACTTCCAGCAGTTTCTCTGACATGCATTACCCTTAATAAATTCCAGCACTCAAACGCTGTGCTGGCATTTGCTACATGCAATAACTGAGAGTTGCTCAAACACAGCATAATTTGGGCACGAGCCCTTTCATCCAGCCGTTTTTCCTCAGCAGAGTCAGTCCTCAAAACCTCAGTTTCAACACAGTCCCATAGTCCATCTCTCCTTAACAACTGCTGCATTTTAATTGACCAACTCAGCCAGTTGCTCTCTGAGAGAAGTTCAAAAGGGATGCCTCCCCCAATATTTACAACTTGGGAAGACTGGAAATCTGCCATCTCTGCTGGTGCTTGCTGAGCCCCTTCTGTGGGGTCTCCAGCAAGCTCTCCTGACTCTCTCTTTAGAGTCCGACTGGATGGTCCTGGCTGGCACTCACCGGCTTCTAGCTGCTGCCTCTGTTGACCCTCAGGTCCTGCCTGGCCCTGCAACTGGTGTACCCGCTCTGTGAGTCGCCTACTGTGGTCCTCCAGCAGTTCAAACTGTTTCAGTAGCTGACGCTGAGTGCTTTCCAGATCCTCAGATCCTAGCCGCTCCAGCGTCGCTGCAGACAGTTACAGCTTGCCACCAACTGCTCCAACGCACAGCCACGGGCTTCGTACACCACCAGGACTCACCAGCTCCCTGCTGAGATGCTGTCAGTCGTTTTGCACTCTGCACATGCTCAGAAACACTGGGCCCATAATCTGTCAGTGTTTGTAAAAAGCAAAAAAAAAGAAGGAAAGGGTTCTGACCTCCCTTTGTCTCTTCAGCCTGGTCCTCGGACCCTTGTCTGCATAAGAGAGTCCACGAGAATATCCTTGCAGAGTTTTATTCTTAAAAGTCTTTGTGCAAAACACGACTGAAGAACTATACACACCAGCATAACCAACCAACCCAAACACCAGCCTCAGTCTCAGACTAACATTTCTCACTATATATATACAACCTGCTGCAAGCCGCTGAGTCATGCTGACCCAGCTTTATTCGCATTAAAGAAACAGCGGCCATTTTAGCCGTGACAGAGAAGCAAAAGACCCCCTGTTGCCTGACAATGGAGTCTATTAACAGCCACTGTTGTGCTGGAAGACCAAGGTGAAGTACTAGTAGGTTAAAGGTAAAGGTCAAGGGACCCCTGACCATTAGGTCCAGTCGTGACCGACTCTGGGGTTGCGGCGCTCATCTCGCGTTATTGGCTGAGGGAGCTGGCGTACAGCTTCCGGGTCATGTGGCCAGCATGACTAAGCCGCTTCTGGTCAACAAGAACAGCACACAGAAACAGCGTTTACCTTCCCGCCGGAGCGGTACCTATTTATCTACTTGCACTTTGACGTGCTTTCGAACTGCTAGGTTGGCAGGAGCAGGGACAGAGCAAGGGGAGCTCACCCTGTTGCGGGGATTCGAACCTCTGACCTTCTGATCGTCAAGCCCTAGGCTCTGTGGTTTAACCCACAGCGCCACCCGCGTCCCTACTAGTAGGTTAGCCAAGTGCAAAAAAAGGGGTATACCTGCTGAAATCCTATCTTATACACAATTATTAAAGGTACAGGATGCTTGTGCTTTTTTGCCCCATGTCATCTTAAATTACTTTGCTGCATCACACGACAGGAAAATCCTCTAACTCAGGAGCAGCAGACACGTGGCCCTCACAATGCTGCAGAACTACAATTCCCATCATCCCTGATTACTGGCCATGATGGCTGGAGCCAACAGGAACTGCAGCTCAGTAACATCTGGCAGACCACAGGTTAGCTATACCTCCAATAGACAATGTTATATGTACCAATAATCCATACAAACTGTTAACAACCACCAGAATACACCCCAACACTATGAGCAACTGCAAAACCATCCTTTTGCATCCTACGTTGGCTCCCAGGACGTTTCTGAGCACAATTCTGAGTGTTGGCGCCAACCTTTAAAGCCCTAATTGGCCTCAGCCCTGAAAGAGTGTCTCCATCCCCATTGTTCAGCCCAGGCATCAGGGTCCAGCACCGAGGGCCTTCTGGCGGTTTCCTCACTGTGAGAAGCGAAGTTACAGGGAACCAGGCAGAGGGCCTTCTGAGTAGTGGCACCTGCCCTGTGGGACACCCTTCCATCAGATGTCAAGGAGATAAGTAACTATACAGCCTTTAGGGAAGTTTTTAATGTTTTATTATGGTTTTGAATATGTTGGAAGTCTGAGGCTGCCCCCCCCTTGCCTTCCTTGCAGCATCCTTCTCAAAGGGCTAAGGCATGACTACGCTCACAGAGTTTAAATCCACCATAAGGTGCAGCAATCAGGCCTCTGTTTCAACACAAAATACCAATGATCCTTATGCCAAGTGGGAGAAAGGTCGTCAACATGATGAACACACAAACCTTGGAGAGAAAATGTAAAAGAAAAAGCACCAGCAATTTAATTGGACTTAATGGAAGTCTCTGCTGATAAGAACATGTGAGCAACGCAGATTTTCCAGACAGATGCAAAACCTAGAGCAGGAAACCTTAGACCTTTAGATATTGCTGGACAGCAGCTATGCTGGGGCTGATGGGAGTCCAACAACATCTGGAGCGTGTGCTGAGCTAGGAAAGCCCTCTAACTGGGAAATTGCAGAGCAGTCCTACTTATTCCAAGGCAACCCTCCAACTTAATTGGGACTTGCTTCTAATTCAGGTTGCACAAACCTGCAACCTTAAAAGCATTTGTAGAAGTCGCAGTCATCCTATGTTCTTTGCTCCTAACTGTCTGAAAGTGGTTTCTCTAGCCTAGGCTGGGGTATCCCAGACAAAGGAAATAAACAGGGCAATATCCTAAACCACCACATATAACACAAAGATGTCTCTCACCTGGTCGTAGGTCAGAAGTCTCTGAAGCTCATTTTTAGTGATCAGATGACAATGCTGGAAAAAAGCAAAGAAACCACAGCTACAGGCTAGCTCACGGGGGCGGGGGGGGGGCAGCCTGCTGCCACTTCCTGCAATATGTAGTAAGACTGATAACTAGGATTGGGCAGTATGATCATATTAGGCTAGTGCTCTGTGAACTAGACTGGCTCTTGCACTGCTTCCAGGCCCAATTCAGAGCATCCCATTTGGCCTTTCAAGTGTTTCAAGGTTTGGGAAAAGGGTACCAGAAGAAGGCCCACTTATTTTTGCACTGCCTCTCCACTGACTAGAATCGTTAGCAGGGGCAGCCCTTTCCCAGGGAACTCCTGCTCTTTCAAGTATGGCAGGGCCTTTTCAGTCATGGCACCCGAACTTTCAAAATAATCTCCCAAAGAGGTTCACCTGGCCCCTGCTTTGATGTCCTTTCAGCAAAGACTTTTAGAATTTCCCCTGGTTCTTGAATTCATGGGCAGGGCTCTTGTGGCCCTCCAAACCCTGCTGTAGTACACAGGAACATAGGAAGCTACCTTATATTGAGGCAGACCATTGACCCATCAAGCTCAGGACGGACTGCATGGACTGGCAGCAGCTTTCAGGCAGAGATCATGCCCAGCCCTATCTGCACACACTGGTGACTGAGCCGAAAACCTTCTTCATGCAAAATGGCCGTTCTGCTTTCGCGTTACTGCCCTTAACAAACTGCAACTCCCACCCCGATCACTGGAGAAGTTGCCCACATTTGCTATAATCTAATCTAATACATCTCTGCCACTCGGTTTATGTTGCTCTCTACTGGCTGCTCTAGTAGAAACCTTAGTGGTGCAGCTGCAGCAGCAGGGATCGCCGACACTGCACCTCTCCTGGTGTTGCTGAAGTGGAACTCTCATGAGCCCCAGTCAGCAAGGCCAATTCTTAGCGATTATGGGAATTTTGGTCTATCAACATTTGGAGAGCACAATGCTGCCTGCCATAAAGAAGGCTGATCACCGAAGAATTGATGTTTTTGAATTCTGGTGCCGGAGGAGACTCTTGAGAGTCCCATAGACTGCAAGAAGATCAAACCTCTCCATTCTGAAGGAAATCAGCCCTGAGTGCTCACTGGAAGGACAGATCCTGAAGCTGAGGCTCCAAGACTTTGGCCACCTCATGAGAAGAGAAGACTCCCTGGAAAAGACTCTGATGTTGGGAAAGATGGAGGGCACAAGGAGAAGGGGACGACAGAGGACGAGATGGTTGGACCGTGTACTCGAAGCTACCAGCATGAGTTTGACCAAACTGCGGGAGACAGTGGAAGACAGGAGGGCCTGGCGTGCTCTGGTCCAGGGGGTCACGAAGAGTCGTACACGACTAAACGACTAAACAACAACAAATGCTGCCTACTCTGAGCTACACACAGGCAGGAAAGTTACAGAAACATGACTCAATTTGCTTCTACAGATAGCGGAGACCAGCAAGTTACATCAGCCAAGGCTCTCTCCCTCCAAGCCCTCGAAACGCACGGGAGGTGGGAATAGCTTTTCAAAAGGAGAACTTCCTAAACCTTTTGAAACCTTTCTCAACCAAGAGTAACAATAACACAATAAAGATTCAGCCCAATACTCATGTGGCAAATGTGAACTCAGCAATTGCGCCTTCATGCCCTTTTGCAATTCTTTGTTCACTTGCACACAGACACTTTTGTTCCATGCTCCTGCAGAAAAAGCAGTCTTGTGCGTTATCCCTTTCTTATCCAGGAAATCCTGAAAATCCTGCAAAAGAAAAACTGGCTTTTCATCTGTGAAAAGACAATCAATGTTAGCATCATGAACATTTTTAACTTTGTCACAAAACTCTTTAAACCTTTCTATGGCTTCTTGTGGTTTCTGCAATATGTATATCCACACATAATGAGAGAAATAATCCACACACACAAGATAATATCTTGCATTGCCTCTAGATGGTGCTAGAGGACCAATCACATCAGCATACACTCGCTGAAAAGCTTTAGTTACTTTCGTCGTCTTCTGGATGTCCTTCGTCATGCCTGCAAGAGAAATCATGTTAGACTCAGATGCATTACAATTTATGCAATCACTTTGATCAAAAGTCAACAAATACAGTCCATCTTTCTCTCTGGCAGAAAGATACAGCTCTCCATCTTTGAAGATTTTGCAGCTTTCTCTATCATAGGACAAAATCAGTCTTTTCTTTGTGATCTGTGAAACACTCAGCAGATTGAACTTTAAATCAGGAACCAAATACACATTGTTAATAGTCAAGTTCAGACTCTCAAGATACACAGTTCCAAACCCGGTCGCTTCAAGCTCCTGGCCATTGGCCTGTTTCACAGTGAAGCTTTGCATCTTAAACGTTGAAAACAGTTCTCGGCGCGACGTCATGTCTTGCGTGCAACCCGTGTCAAGAACAAAAGCGTTCTCCGTTGAAAATTCAGCTTTTGTTGACAGCAATGCCTTTGCAGGTTTCACCTGGGACTTGGTACGACTTTTGCCTGATGCCTCAGGCTTTGCAGAGCTCCCTTTAGCTCCTTTCTGTTGACGTGGCTTCTTACAATTCCGCTGAAGATGCCCAGTCTGTCCACAATTGTCACAACGGACAACGTTCAAAGCAACAGCCTGTTCTTCACTAGCAATAGCAGTGGGGGTGTCAGAACTCCGAGCTTCTCTCCCCCTGTCTTTGACATCTATTTCAGCAAGTCTGTCTCTCTCATTCAAAACCACAGCACAAATTCTTTCCACCATAAGATCTGCGGCAGGTAGAGAACCCAGCTGACTTGCAACGGTTTTATAAGTCCGATTAAGGCTGTTAATAATCATGAAGCAGAATATCTCTTCCTGTAGAGGGAAATTGCGTTGCGCCATCTGCTGGCGTAAGAATTTCATCTCTGTCAGATGCGCTTGCATATCTCCATCAGGCACTAGCTTTAGATTGGTCAGCTTTTCAAAATGCAGCAACGCTGAAGAACCAGCATCTCTTTGATGTATTCTACGCAGCGTTTGCCAAATCTCACACGCATATTCCAAATCCTGAATATGCACAAGTTGATCATCAGAGACACACAGAATTATGGCCGTCCTGGCTCTCACATTCTGTGAATTCCAACTTGGCGTTGGAGCAGCAGGGATGGGATTATCAATCACCCCAAAAATCCTCTGATTCTGAAGCAGGGCTTTCATCTTTACAGACCATGAGGAATAATTGTCATTAGTCAGTGGAGGTGGGTAAGGTAAGCCTCCCCCCCCCCTTGGTATCCATTTTGAATCCAAGCCTTAGCTCTCACTCTCGAGCCTGTAAAATCCAAGAGTCTATTGGGTTGTTTACTGCCTTGCACCTGGCAGCTAAACACAGGCTGCTTCGGAAAATCCCTCCAAGAGCAGTGAGATAATAGACAAAACACCAGTGTTTTTCCCGCCTCTCACAGTCCCAGCCTCACTTGGCTTGTAATTTTCCACCTAGAAGAAGCTGAAAAACATACACGTCTCGTTGCTTAGCAACTGGACTTGGCTGACCGGCTATAGCAAAGCTTATCAAGCCTCAGGAATGCGAAATATGCAGGCTGTTCCTCCATGCTGTTTTCATCCAAAAGCAGACACTCAGTGAACCGAAGAATGCTTCAATTCGCGTTCACTCTCACAGCCATAAAATGACCATACCTTGAGGGAATCCGTTGCTCGTTTTATCAGCAAAAACGCCTCCTCCGGTGCTCAGCCGTCCTTTGTAGCTTTCCATCCGCTCGCTACCACATTCTTTCTTTATCTCCTTGCAGAGGATGAAGTACGATCCATCAACCTTTTTGCTGCTTTCATGGATCGATGCCATCGGCTCCGTGCTACCAGATGTCGGAATTCAAGCCTATATCAGTAGTAACTGGCAACTCTCCAGGCACCTGGCATGATCTCCTGTTGACCTCCCTGTCTGCATTCCCCAGCAAGATCCAGGCAAGGTCGCGATAGGCGATTCTTCTCAGCGTGAGAAGAACACACACCCTCTTTCTTGCCCCCCCGACAGGGGAAAGAGATAGACAGAAACGTATTTACATGCCTTTATTTCTGTCTTTGCAGTGTTACAAAAACATGACTGCTCTCTTCAAGCTCTAGCAGTCGAGTGACAAACACTTCCTGTACTTCCTGTACAGGAACAATAGGAAGAGCTCATATTACACTCTGAGCTAATTCCGGTGTACTGCCCTGTGAATTGACTGTCCCTCTGTTTCCCACGGACAGTCCCAACATTCCCATCATGTTTACTTTTCTTTTTTTTTTAAAGTGATATTTATTAAAGTTTCCATAAAAAATTAAACATAGAACATAAAAAAGAAATACACAATTCAAAAAATACACAATACATAATCCAAAAAAGAAAAAAAAGAACAAAAAACAAAAGACAAAAAAGAAAAAAAAACAGTTAAAAACAATATCACCTTTTCATCTCCATTTTTAAATTTACTTATTTTCTGGACCTCCTCATACCTCCCTCTTTTGTATTCCAGTTCAAATTGTTTGTCCAGCAATTTCTTTCCTCTTTTTTAATCCCAATCTTTAGTCTTAATATAATATAACATTAAAATTTTACCTCTTAAAAACCAAATTTCCATTTCCTTAAACTTTTTTAATCCTAATCCTTAATCTTAATCTATCTATAACTTTAAATCCTGTACAGCTGGAAGCCACTTATTTTCAATCCAACATCACTCTAACATTCTTTAATTTTGCAATGTTTCTGCAGATAGTCTTTGAATTTCTTCCAATCTTCCTCCACCGACTCTTCTCCCTGGTCACGGATTCTACCAGTCATTTCCGCCAGTTCCATATAGTCCATCAGTTTCATCTGCCATTCCTCCAGTGTGGGAAGCTCTTGTGTCTTCCAATACTTTGCAATGAGTATTCTTGCTGCTGTTGTTGCGTACATGAAGAAAGTTCTATCCTTTTTATCACCATTTGGCCGACTATGCCCAGGAGAAAGGCCTCTGGTTTCTTGGGGAAGGTATATTTAAATACCTTTTTAATTCATTATATATCATTTCCCAGAAAGCCTTAATCTTTGGGCACGTCCACCAAAGGTGAAAAATGTACCTTCAGTTTCTTTACATTTCCAACATTTATTATCGGGCAAATGATAGATTTTTGCAAGCTTGACTGGGGTTATGTACCACCTGTATATCATTTTCATAATATTCTCTCTTAAGGCATTACATGCCGTAAATTTCATACCTGTGGTCCATAACTGTTCCCAGTCAGTGAACATAATGTTATGTCCAACGTCTTGTGCCCATTTAATCATAGCAGATTTCACCGTTTCATCCTGAGTATTCCATTTCAACAGCAAGTTATACATTCTTGACAAATTCTTAGTTTTGGGTTCTAACAGTTCAGTTTCTAATTTTGATTTTTCCACCTGGAAGCCAATTTTCTTGTCCAATTTAAATGCCTCCATTATCTGAAAATAATGAAGCCAGTCTCGCACTTTGTTTTTTAGTTTTTCAAAGCTCTGCAATTTCAGTCTATCTCCATCTTGTTCCAAAATTTCCCAATATTTCGGCCATTTGACCTCCATATTGAGCTTTTTCAAGGCTTTCGCTTCCATTGGTGACAGCCACCTTGGGGTTTTGTTTTCTAATAAATCCTTGTATCTTATCCATACATTAAACAACGCTTTCCTGACAATGTGGTTTTTAAATGCTTTATGTGCTTTGACCTTATCATACCATAGATATGCATGCCATCCAAATACATTGTTAAAACCTTCTAGGTCCAAAATGTCAGTGTTTTCAAGAAGCAGCCATTCTTTCAACCAGCAAAAAGCTGCTGATTCATAGTAAAGTTTGAGGTCTGGCAGGGCAAATCCACCTCTTTCCTTTGCATCTGTTAGTATTTTAAATTTTATTCTGGGCTTCTTGCCCTGCCAGACGAATCTAGAAATATCTTTCTGCCACCTCTTGAAACAATCCATTTTGTCCACAATTTGCAAAGTTTGAAACAAAAACAACATTCTAGGCAATACATTCATTTTTATCGCAGCAATACGGCCCAGCAGTGAAAGCTTCAAATTTGACCAAATTTCTAAATCTTTCTTCACTTCAGCCCAACATTTTTCATAGTTGTCTTTAAATAAATTCCCATTTTTTGCTGTCATGTTAATCCCCAGGTATTTAACTTTCTTAACCACTGTTAAACCTGTCTCATTCTGAAACCTCTCTCTTCAATCGGTGTTAAATTTTTCTCTAAAACCTTAGTTTTTAACTTGTTCAATTTAAATCCTGCCACTTGACCAAATTCTTGAATCAGTTCTAAAACCCTTATAGTACTGGATTCTGGCTCCTGTAACGTCAATACTAAGTCATCTGCAAATGCTCTCAATTTGTACTGTTTAGCTCCGACCTGTATACCTTTAACCAACCGGTCCCTTCTAATCATATTCAGTAAAACCTCCAGGACCGAAATAAAAAGAAGTGGGGAAATTGGGCAACCTTGTCGTGTCCCTTTTTCAATTTTAAGTTCTTCCGTCACCACATTATTTACAATTAGTTTAGCCTTTTGTTCTGAATAAATTGCACTTATACCATTCTCAAAGCCTTGGCCTACCCCCATACCCTGTAGATTCTTCTTCATAAAGTTCCAAGAAATGTTGTCAAAGGCTTTTTCCGCGTCCACAAATATCAAAACTGCTTTAGTGTTTATATTCACTTCTAGTTTTTCCAGAATATCAATTATATTCCTCAGATTGTCCGACAGATGTCTTCCTGGGAGAAAGCCCGCTTGATCTTTATGAATCTCTTCCATCAACACTTTTTTTAATCTCTTGGCCAAAATGTCAGCAAAAATTTTATAATCCACATTGAGCAGTGATGTGGGGTGCTAGTTCTTAAGCTGTGTCTTTTCAGTCTCTGTTTTCGGTACAAGTGTAATATATGCTTCTTTCCACGACTCTGGTGCTCTTTTCCCCTCCATTATTTCATTACAGACCTCTTTCAAAGGTTGTATTAACCATTCTTTCAAAGATCTATAGTATTTAGAAGTCAAACCATCTGGTCCTGGAGATTTACCCAATTGCATATTTTGAATGGCACCTTCTATTTCCTGTTCAGTTATTTTATAGTTCAAAATTAGTTTATTTTCTTGAGATATTTTTTGTAATCCATTTGTTCTCAAAAATTGATCTAAGTCTGTTTCTTTCAATGGCCCTTGGGTATATAATCGTTTAAAGTACCTCTGGAAACAATTTCTAATCTCTGCAGGGTTCTGTATATTTCTTCCTTCCACTTCTAAGTTCGTGATTGTATTTAGTTTTTGTCTCTTTTTCATTTGCCATGCCAACAATTTACCACATTTGTTGGCCGACTCAAATGTCTTTTGTCTCATTTGTTTAATTTTCCATTCTATTTCCTGATTCATCATTTTCATATATTGTACTTGATATAACTTTAACTCTCTCAGAATCTCTTGAGATTTTGGGTTTACTCTCAGTCTTTTTTCACTTTCCTTTATTTTGTCCAATATCTTATCCTTCTTCTCATTTTGAATTCTTTTCTTTACTGCGTTCTGTTGTATTAAGAACCCTCTCATAACTGCTTTACTTGCGTCCCAGATTACTCTTTTCTCCACGTTAGTGCTCAAATTTATCTCAAAATAGTCTCTCAAGGTTTTTTGGGCCTTCTTAAATACTTCTTCATCTCTAAATAAGGTGTCATTCATCTTCCATCTAGAGGAGCCAGTTGGTGTTAGTCTCATTTCCATCTTGACAGCACTGTGAGCGGAAAAAGTTTTCGGGCAGATTTCCACCTTTCTTGTCTTTGGTGCCTTTCCTCTAGTTATCCAAATTTGGTCAATTCTTGTCCATGTCATTTTGGCTTCAGAAAAGAAAGTTCCCTCTTTAGCCATGGGGTTTCTTATTCTCCATATATCAACTAAGTCCAAGTTGTCTGTCATATCAAAAAAAGTTTTCGGTAGTCTACCATCCTTAGTACCTGTCTTTGTGCCTTGTCCATATATGTAGATACCACTCCATTCATATCTCCCATCAAAATCATGTTGTAGTCCATATGGTCCATCAGGGTCTCGTGCAACTTCTTAAAAAATTCAGATTTCCCATCATTTGGTGCATAGATTCCTACTATCAAAAATTTTTCTCCTTGTGTTTGAATTTCAGTTGCCACAAATCTTCCTTGGTCATCTTTAAAAACAAATTTCGGTGATAGTCTGTCCTTTGCATAAATCACAACCCCTCTTTTTTTGACTTTGTCCGATGAAATAAACTCCTGACCAAGTCTTTTATTTATCAACAATTTCCTGTGTAATCTTGTTATATGTGTTTCTTGTAAACAAATTAAGTCCAATTGTTCCTTTTTTAGTAGATGAAACACTGATTTCCTTTTCTGAGGGGAATTCAAACCACGACAGTTCCAGGTTAATAGTTGCAGGGCCATGATGTAATTATTTTGGTTCTCCTCCAACGGCACCTAGTGCCTGTTCCTCTTCCGTCGGTGGTATCACTTTTTTCAGAAGGTCCTTTAGTTCCAGAGATCGTCCTGGTATTTCTAAAGCTTCTCTTGCAGTTGTTCTTAACTGTCCTGTGACTTTCTTTTGTAGGTCTTCTCCGTGGTCTCTCCAAAATTTGTCTTTGTCGTCTTCCGATCTTATTTTCCTCTTCTTTCCTTTGTAGCTAAAAGATAGGCCTTGAGGAAATTCCCACCTGAAATTAATCCTATTACTTTTCAACAAGGTAACCAGGTCTTTATAGTTAGATCTGAGATCCAGAAGGTGTTTCGGAATGTCCTTAAATATCTCCACTCTTGTCTGGTGTATTTCCAGTGTCTTCTGGAAATGCAAACGCAAGATCTTGTCCCTCTCTTCTTTTGTTCGAAGAGTGATCAAACAGTCTCTCACCTTCTTTTCTCCTCTTTTTCCAAGTCTAAAGGCATTCACTATTTTAAAACTGTCCTTTACCAGTTCTGGATTCCAAAAGTCTAAAAATTCAGCTAAATTGTCCTTCTCCACTTCAGGTACCGCTCTGACCCTTAAATTCACTTGTTTTTCTTTCAACTCAATCATAGACAGGGTTAACTTATGATCTTCCAATTGTTTATGTAACGGTGGTATCTTCTCTTGAACCTCTTGAACCTCTGTAACAGACGCTGTAGCAATTTCTTTAGCCTCTTCGGCAATCTGACGTGTTGAGGCCGATTCCTCTAATAATTTCTGAATAGTCTCTGTATTAGTATTTACTTTCTGGCCCAAATTATTTAAACTTGCTGTATTTTGGTTAATACTTGTTGTATTTTGATTAATACTTGTTGTGTTTTGATCAATCTTGTCTGATGCCTCTGCTACTTGTTTGCTTATTCTGTCCAAAGATTCATTAATTTTAGCCAAAACCTGAGCAAAGGCATCATCACTTGCCATACCTTTGGTTTTGGGTTGTGAAGATGGGGCTGCTATTGGAACCCCAGAGGGGCCAGAGGTCGAAGCTCTTCTTTGCAATCCACCGTCTGTTCGCAATACTCTGCCTGACCTTGTTGCTTGTAACGACTCTAGTTTCTCTTTCCCATCTGCCATACCCCTTTAGATAAAACTCAAGGTCAGTCACACAGTTAAGTTCAGAATTGTTTTGAAGTGGAAAGTTCCAAAAGGACCGTGTGGGAAAATCCTCAGGCCAGCTACAATTGCAATTGTAGCTAGTTGTAACAAATCCAAATTCCACTAGGGGGACACTGTAACCGTCATAAAGTTCTTAAATGCTTTACTTCTTCTTTAAGTCCCCCCAGTTTATCAGAAAGATAACAATCTATCTTAAACAGTTACTTTAAGACCAGGAGATATCTATCCACAATATTGTATCCAAATTGTATTTCCAGTGCAGGACTAGCTGTCAAAATATATTCAAAGACAGTACCTTTTCTCCAACTTTTAATTGTCTCTGGGAATCCGTTCCCAAGGGATTGAGCGATGGTTTTTATCTTCTTTTTCTCACCTCTTCTTAAAGAAATAACATTCAAAGTTTCCCCCCCTCTTCCCTCAAGTTGAGGGGGGGAAATCCTGGTTAGATGATTGGATTAAAGTCCCTTTATGCGTCTTTTTCTAAGCT